TTTTCTTCGGGTCCTCCCATATCCCCCCTCCATATTGAGAATCAACATATGTTTACAGCATTTGGTTGCCATAAATTCCCACGTGATAAGCCAGTTCGTTGAGCTATCATTTGTGGCCAGGTCGCTTCTGAAAGAAGAGCTATTTCGCTCAGTGGGCCTTACCTTGTAAAAATTGTAAATAGTTAGTGAGTGTGCCTGTGAGTTCTGCAATCTCCAAGATTTAACCTCACTGCAGGGGTAAAGACTCTTTGAATTTTTACAGCCCCCCAATTATATCTAAATTCCGCTCATGATATCATGCTATTCTTTGGGTCTTTCGGTAAAGTCACGTCGATAGGTTCAAATAAAAAAAACTACGACGTTTCGATCACAATACAAGCGATCGTCATCAGGAGGAATGTTTTTTTTGTTCCAATCAGAATGCTCGCAGCTGGCAGTATACCAGCCCGTGCCAGCGAAGAGTCCCAGGAATGGGCGTCGCAGAACTATTTCTGAAGTAACTTCACTCGGTCTCATTATCTACACTGGGAGGCGCCCCCATTAATATTGCACGCACAGAGAGTGCCTGCCACTTGTCGCTTACCCCAACAATTGTGAGCCTTAACAGCTGGGATGAGCTCATCCGAAGTGACAAACTTCGAATGGAATGAGAAGGGAGTTTTTGTGCGCGGCAACGTTTTTTGTTTTCTGCCATGAAGTGAAACCTGGGATAAATTAATTTTAAAAAAGGACATCATGAGGATTCAGTCCCCAATTACTGCCTTGCCAAAGTCTTGGGACAACATCACCAGTTCAGGATAAAGCAATCTCTGCAAAGCTGCCAGTAAGAGGCAGTTTAGTACCAATTAGGTTAATGCTTCATTTTGAATCACGACAATATGACACAATGGGTTAGTTTTTCAATATCATGGGCTCATTTATGTTAGAACATATTCTAATATAACACATTCAAAGGGTATTATCTCTGCGGTGCATTAACAAGAGGCTGCAATAATAATGCAGCGGGTGAACTCTGGATCTGGAGGCAACAAAAGCTCAGTGTCAATGTCAACCTCATCATCATCCATGATCAATCCACTGCTGGACGAAGGCCTCCCTAAGATGTCGCCATGACTCATGGTTCTGTGATGTAACGATCCATCTAGCAGCACCTGCTCAGGAGCTGAATTCATTGCTCCAGCTCAGCAGTGGAAAAGGGCGTCATGCCTCCTTCGGCTACCACTCCACAGTTAGTCTCGACCACCATCCATAATTCCTTATTATGATGTCTCCTGCCCAAGCCTAACTCTCGTAAAAGTCAATATGGTGAATGTAACTGGAGTATATCCTTGAATCCACGTGCTCCTCTTTCTGCATCTAAAACAGGATTCAAAACAGGCATCTCTCCACGCTTCTTTGTGGACTGTTCAACTATTATTCCACATCACTGTTCCTGTTTCTGGCTTGCAAACGACTTAAGAGCCCTGTTTCAAGCTGCACTAAGATTTGGGAGAAAGGCATGCGACACTGACCTGACATGTGGAACACACTAGTCACTCAGGTGCACCCCCTGCCACTTAGAGGAGTTTGACAGGCAAGTGCTATTAGCGAGCACCTATGAAGGCTGGCACGGCACACGAGGGGTTGGGTGGCCAGCAACACCCCGAACCACCTTTGTTTCCCCTGTGGCGATATTTACACACCACACCAGGTACTGATTTAAGGCTGAGTCGACCTAGGGGAGGCCCAGGACCGGTTGAGATAATCGTCAACTGCTATTGACCGTGAACGGGAATCGAACCCGGATTGCTGGGTTCGTAGCAGCAGTGCGCTAACCACTGCGCCACCACTCCCCAGATACTGACCTGAGATGTGTAACAAACTACTCACTCAGGAGTCACACGGGCACACAGTCAGTAGGTCACACAGAAATTCCCCTGAAATAAAGATGAACAGTGTTTCCTTGCGCCAGATGCAGCCAGCATTGCATACATCTGATTAAGGGCTGGCTGCATACCATTTAATAGCCACACCTGGGGCACAGTTATAAACTGGAATGCTCAGCACACATCACGAACTGGCAATAAGCCAGTCACTCCGATAATGGGAACATTCTGATTGCTTAGAAATTGGCGCGTTGAAATAACCTTCTAAAAATGAGCATTTGCGCATGACGAAAGGGTAACCTTAACATTTGCATAATCACAACGAGGATATGGAGGTAAACCCTTCACTACCAGTGAAGAACCAAATTCAAGAACCAAATTCAAGTTTCAATGTTATCTTGTTTAAGCAGGTTTGCAGCATTAGTCTGCTGGAGGGGGCAATTATCGCAATGCATAATCCCAATAGAGAAATTTGCTGCTAATTTTCGAATTTGCGCTGCAAATGCATACTCTTGCAAATAACATCGGGGGATCTTTAACGTCAAGCGTGAAGCAGACGGCGCGAAAAATTACTGTCAATGCACACCACACTATTAACCAGGGCGGCCGCTGGGTTGGAACCATGGACCTCTGCAACAATCGGCAAAACGCACTACCGCCGGACTAATGGCACTTGTCCACATGGCTGCGTGGTTGTAGAGACATTGAACAAGTGCCTCGGTCGGAGTGGTTGTTTGAGTATACGTCACCAAGTTGGTCCGTGCGGGTTGGTGACCGATTCAGATGTCACCCGCCATTGATGCTAGTTGAAGCTGGCCGAGATGGACCTAGAAGCGTCCCAATTAGGGCCCTAATTCAGTATTCTTTATTGCAAGGCCCACGGGTCACTGGTGGCCCCTGTTGGCTTTTCGTGCGGTCCCTGACAATACACAAATGTGAAAACACGCCTTGCATGCGGTGTTGCGCGCTTCACACTGACGCCTTATCGGCGAAAGTGGCCCCCATCTGAACACTCGTGAAGAACACTGCCCTAATCAATCCCTCTGGCAAATAGCTTGTTTGCCCGTCCAAGGACGGAGGCTGTAATATTTATGAAAAAAAATTGAGCAGAGTATAATTATATCTTGTGTAAATTTAACGGCAGTGAATCTTGCACAAAAGTATGTCATCAAACACTCCACTGCAGTTCACTGTAGCACTGCATTAATGGAAGTGAATCTGCCACAAAACGAAGTCATAAAACACCTCACTTCATGTCACTGTATCGCTGTATATAACTGACCTTCAATTTGTTCAAATTCATTGCTCTGATACTTTATTCTCTTCTGCTTTCGGTCACTGGGGTTGAAATAAATTGGAAATTAGATACAATATCTGGAAAATCACCAAGAAATGTCTATTTTACCATAATGTAGAAGCATAAATTAGAATTACCTTTTGTCTAAAGTGCTGAAGGAATAAATAAAGACACCAAATCCACGTTTTTGCTGCGTATAATTATTTAATGGATTCACGTTCAATAAAGAAACGTCAAACTTAAAGCGAATTGCGATAAAAAAAGATATTTCCGCTCGACCTTCTGCGTGAGTCTAAAAATCCACCCGCTCATGAATATTCATGAGGGGGGGTGCCGCATGTGGAGTGACGTCACGCGCGTTACACACAGACATTCTTGGCTCATCATATTAGTCATAATACCATACGTCCCTGGTCACTGGGAAAGGGTGAAGGTTGCTGGATTCAAAGCAGTGTGTTAAATATCGCGCCACCTATCCAACAACACTCCTACAACATCAGAGTGCATCGCGCAATTAAATACGCACTACAATGACAATAGTTTAAAGCGATTTGAAGCATGTTTTATTTTTAAAAAAATGGAAATATGGTTTTGGGGGGGGGGGGGGGCAGAGCTTTGTGACGTCATATTTGAGGGGGGGGGGGTCTGACTTTTTGTGACTTTACAAGTTTGCCCTGGCTTTATTGCCTTGGTGATTCACAATGCTTGCTTTGCCCATCAGCGATGCAAGGGTGACACCTACAGGCTTCGAATGGGAGGGACAACTCTGTTACGAGTTGGCAATAGTTAAACCTGCTGTGATAACTCAAGAGACCTGCAAAAGTCGTAATTTTTTTGTCTATTTGTTTGCGTTTCTCCCTTGTGATGGGACTTTGCAGGATGAGATGTATAAGGGCATGGGGTGACCAATAAGGTCTGAATTGGTGTGTAATGAGGTAAGCACCGATAAAGGGTTGACAGGTATGAAGGCTGGTGATGGAATGACAGCCAAAGGAGTGATATCACTCACAGGCAATGGACAGCACATGTGTTCTGCAATGATGGTCATTACGCGAATCGTAGCCCATTATATTACCCTAAGGCGATCATTAACGACTGTCGGGTTTTATTGGTGCACCGCTGTCAACGCAGCATCCAACTCATCTACACCAGAGGAATCCGATGGGCTACAACGCTATTTTTTTCCACAGACGTCCAAATAATTTAACCGTGGAGACGGGCGCTTTGCTGCGAGGATATCAACAGGGATGTGTGTGGGGGGGGGGGGTCTTCATCCAGCAGTGGATAGACCACGGCGTAGCGGTGGCAAATCGCCACTAGGAGCTTCCACGCGGACCAAGCAGACACGTGCCGCTATGAGCCACGTGTACACGCGGCGGCCACGTGGCACGCCGATCGGCCAATCGGAGGCGGTGTCTTAAAAAAAAAACCAGGCCGTGCGTCCGCGCTTTAAAGAACGACGCCGATTGGTTGGCTGGATGGGCGCGACAACTTAATAGCGGCTCTAATTAAAAAAAAATTACCGACGCCTCCACAAAAAGTGGTTCTGTCGTCGCGAAACGTCTGACGCCGCGCTTCGAAGTGAAAAAAAAATCGATCGCGCGTCCGCCGTCGGCTGTGGTGACGTGCCACAAGCGCGCAACGTTGCGCGGACGGCGCCTCTGCATTTGGTAGCGCGGATAGGCCGCGAGGGTTGCGCGTCGCCGCCTCTCATTGGTCAAGGGCTCGGGTAATTCCCCCCCACCCCACCCTCCTCCTTCCTTCGCTGCCTATTCGACGCTCGCCATCACGTGACTCGATTCGACCAATCGGGGGCGCATGCGGTGCCCGATCGATAGTGGGGAATTTGAGTGTCGGCATCGCTGACGTAGCTCCTTCTTTTTTGTGTGTTGGCCACGGATTCCATCCCCGGGTTCAGGCGGCGGCGTCGGCGGCTCCTCTCCTCCCGGTCTCTCCCTCGCAAGCCACCGTCGAGCTAGCCCGATCACGTCCCCCACCACCACCGCCGCCACGTTCGCTTCGAGAAGGTTGACCAAGAGCCCCCTGAGGGCGATCGACCGACCGACATGGGCAGTGAGTAAACCCCCACCAACTCCCTCAAACCTCTCCCGACTCGCGTCTTCGCCCCGTTCATTAATCAACATTATTAAGCGTTATTGTAATCGTTATACACTTATCCGCGGATGTGTAATATGTGTAAACAATGTGTTCATAGTTGAACGAGTATTATGGGTGTGATACGTAAGGGGATGAAAGGAAGACTTTGAAGGGACAGTGAGGCCTAGCTTCCACCATAAGGGTCATCCCTTGTGGTTTATTGGTGCGCTCTTTAATTTTAATTTATAATTGCTCGCAGGCAAATATAATGGGGTTTTAATGCCGTCGTCGCGAGCGGCGTGCGATTTGTAATTGTTTGTAGCGTTGTAATTGAGAGGGTGAACGAGATCGTGTTAATGTCATAATTATAAATGTTACTGTTCAGTAATTGGTAATGTATGATTTATGCTATTAATGTATTCTGACTTATAGTTGATTGGTAATGCATTGAAGTCGCGTGATAATTGTGAGGGTAATGAAGATGATGTTCGAATGAATATATGAAGGCTGGATCCAGAAGAGTCCTTATGGTTATAACCTGATGTGTTAATATTCGTATAATTACCATTAACATAGTTAATTGTTGGAATTATTGAGAGAAGAGCGTGCTTGAGAGGCTGATTGAATGTATGGCCTAGGCACCTTAAGGTTTCCTGTTAATATTGATTATAATTGTAATACATTAAATGTTCTTGGTTCTTTCGGCAGTCATTTTTTATTATTTTATTATTTCACTTCTACGTGACTTTACCGAAATAACCAAGAATATGAATCCCTGCAGTCACGAAAGCTTTAAATCGAAACATTAAATATTGTTAACGTATGATTATAGTTAATTGTTAGTACGGCATTATAATTGAGACTGACAGATGTTAAATGACAGGTTAAATGGATTTGCGGCCAGAGTCCGTAAGGGTCCTTGATAATTAGTGATTATAATTGTTTTAGGCATGTTATGGTGAATATTGTTCTATGGGCATGCACATTATACAGTAGTTAATTGTTCTACTGTAGTTTACGTATTATTAACGTGGGTCATTGTTAGTGCGATCATGGCTAGGGTCAACGAGAGGCTGATTGTGGGGCCTTGGTTCCATTAGGTTCCTTGTTAGTAGAGATTTCAACAATGGTGGTACCATGCAATGTATTATTGCAGAATACATTATCTGAATATGTAAGGAGAACGAGACGTTTGAATTTGGGACCCGCAGCCATAAGGGTTCGTGTTAATTGGTGGTTTTAATAGAATCGTTAAAGGTTTATTTTACGGTACGTGAATGATTATTTTAGTAATGTTTCAGTATATTTATTGAAAGAAAGGTTTGAATAGACAAGACCGTCTGTTTGAATGCATATGTAGCCTAGATCTTTCAAGTTTCATGTTAATAGTGGTTTTGTCATCGTTTTAAAGCTAATGTATTTCCCATTACAATTATGGAAGTAGATGTATCATGAATTATTAATCTTAATTAATAAGCAAGTGACTATTATTATCATCAACTTGATGGTGATAGTTGATTCGTTTTATAATTGAGAGAGTGAGAGGATGTTGGAATGGATGCGGCGTCGGTCCATAGGGAATCATAATGGGCAATGATAGAATTGTCATAGGCCTTTAGTCGGTCATTGTATTATAGTGAATGTATCATGATCGTCATAGTTAATTGTTACCATTGTAATTGAGAGCTAATAGAAGTAAGGCTGTTTGAATGAATGTGGAGGCTGGATCTGATCTGTAGGGGGCGCGGATTACCAGTGACGAGTGATCTTTATCTTAATTGGTAACAATGCCTGAGATTGCACGAGATGCTCTTTTAAGGGCACATGGTTAATAGTGGCCATTGATAATGTATTAATGTTAGTACATGCACGGTACGTTTTTTGTCAGTCCACTGTGTTCGTCACTGCAAGGCCCTGTGGTCCGTTGGCGGCCCCCTGGTGGCCCCTGGTAGCCTTTCGTGTGGCCCCTGACAATACAACTCGTGTGAAAACACGCCTTACAGGCGGTGTGGCGACCCTTACACTGACGATGGCTTGTCAGCGAAAGTGCCCCCCCGAAAATTAGTGAAGAACACTGCTCTTGGCCTAGAGGGTCTTGGGTTTACTTGACCCTGCTTTACCGAACTGGCCGGTTACAGATTGGTGAACGCAGCGAGTACGGTAGATACGTGGGAGCATATTGCATTATCACAATGGGTTTTGCTGCACTGATTAATGTTAGTATATTAATTGTATACATTGAACAAGTGAGTGACCTCTTGAAATAATTGTGTGGCTTATGCAGTGGTTCATGTAAATAGAGGTTTAGTTATAATTGATGTGGTTAATTGATTGTTAATATTATTGTTAGTTATTATTACCAGTGGTTATGTCATTGGTAAAGTTGTAATTGAGATTTTGCGAATAAACGTGGTAATTGGGTCTATTTTTAGATGCAGGGGCGATGAAATATTTTGTCATTGTTACAACTCATGGAAAGTTAATATTACTATTGTTAATTCGTTATGAATACTATTGTAGTTAACCCATTAAAGTTTGGAGTAAGAGGATGGAATGAATGTGGAGTCTGTCTCTATGCTTGTGGTCAGTTATAATAACGGTCAGTTAAACTGCAGAATTACATTTTAAAAAACAGATTATAAAATAACTTAAACAATTTAACATCATATTACAGCCTTATCACTTGATTATATTTGCAGTGCATGGCCATGCATGTCGCAAGTGGTCATGGGTGTCCGAATTTGCCCAAAGCCTTTTAGTTATTGGAGCCTTATACAAATATCCTGGACTTCGTGGTCAATATTAACACTGGGAAGCCGCAGGCAGGCATGCGATTGTTGGACTGACTACCCTGTCATGTACTGTACAATCTTGAATAGGCACTCTCTAACAGGACATGTATGAGCAGCTGATCCATGCCTATAGCGGCACGGTTATGCAATTACATCTTTTATGAATGGCCATCCATATTTTATGATTCAAAGCCCGTGGTTCGTGTTTTCCTGCAGTGAAATTCCTCGAAGTGATCAAGCCGTTTTGTGCGGTTCTCCCGGAGGTCCAAAAACCAGAACGAAAGGTGAGTGATCCAAAAAACAATACCAACATGATGGCGGTGTGCCATTGTCTTGAGAGAACCTGATTGTCTGTGCCGTATGAAAATCCACTTCTTGCCTGGCAGCTTAGACTTGCTTGATGGCATTTCTCTGTTTCATGTCTTAATATAATTTTCATTGGAACTTTTGTGTTATTTTGTTAAATGGCAGAGGGGAGAATGCATAAAGAATACCAACTAGAGTTCTGGGCTTAAAAAAAAGAATACATGCTATCAGAATAATACTATATGTTTGTGTAGTTGAACAATAATATAGATAAGTTGGTCCTATGCTCGGTGTGTAAAGTGATTTGTGTGGAGGCTCTTGACAGTCTTGATTATTCATGGCCATTCTGACGAGGATTTTACTCAGCAGTTTGCTCACTTTTTAGAAAAATCATGTTACTGGTAAAATCGCAGAGCTGGATACTTGGTGGATAAAAAAAGCGACTTGCAGCAGTTGGGCAGTATGTTAGAAAAATATTGACATTGTCAGAGCTTATGATTGCTGTGGGAATGCCTTTGCACATAAGCATCTGTTGGCAGCTTCGGCATAGTGGAAACTGCACAGCATTGTGCTTTGTAGATTGCAAAATGGTAGTGTTTGTATGGCGTTTAAGTTTATGGCCTCTGTGTCCAAGTCCCTGCGATCTGGTGTAGTGCCAACCTTTTGTGCGATGTACACCCACAGATCCAGTTTAGGGAAAAGGTGCTATGGACAGCAATCACCCTCTTCATCTTCTTGGTGTGCTGCCAGGTGAGTGAACAGAAGTCTTGTATGGGGGTTGCCCTGTTCTCACAAAGTTTGTTAATCAAAGCACACGCTTTTAATCACGTGTTATTAAGTGCATCCATTTGTCAATCACTGCCGAAAGAAAGCTTCCCCATTCCACGTTCGGTTGTTTTGGGGGGGGGGGGTTTGACCAAACTGTACTGCTTATCTTTGCAGTGGAAGGGTGGAATTAAACTGGTTGAGATGTCATTCGCCATTCATGATAACCGTGGCCGCTAATTTAACTCGGGTCGCCGTGTTCATAGTGCGGTTTGCTCTTGCTTTTTGTATCTATTGTGCTCCGCTTAATTACTGATAGCAGTGGCACAATGTTAGAAATGCTTTCAAGTTTATTGAGAATGAATGATGACAATGATCTTAATGTGCTTCGTTCATTTGCAGATTCCTCTGTTTGGGATCATGTCATCAGACTCTGCAGATCCCTTCTACTGGATGAGAGTAATCTTGGCATCCAACAGAGGTAATGTGACCTCAAACTAATAACTAATGAGCTATTGTGATTGTCCTGTGGATAGACTCACTCCTGCCATGTGAATGTGTATATTACAATCATGGCTCGGGGGGGGGGTGTAAATATGAAATCAGTGCTCCCCCATGCTCGTTGGAAACCATTTTGACCTTGATTGCATAAAAGTAAAATAGTTAGTGAAATGCAGACCTATTAGACTTGAAATGCATAAATACAAAGACAAAGGATGTCCCATGAAATGGAGGCAGCAAAAGAGAGACCACCGGCAAATTCGGCAACAATCGGAATATTTTCTGGCATGGGTTCATGATGACGGTTCCAAGCCACTCTTACATCTGGAAATAAAATGTGCAGATTCCAGAGGCACACAAATGGCAAGCTAGTGACTACACACGAATGGGAAATGGGCTCGTCAAAGCCACGTGTGCAGTATGATGAAGCAGTATAGTAAAATACAGTGAGGGAAAAAAGTATTTGATCCCCTGCTGATTTTGCACGTTTGCCCACTGACAAAGAAATGATAAGTCTATAATTTTAATGGTAGGTTTATTTGAACAGTGAGAGACAGAATAACAACAAAAAAATCCAGAAAAACGCATGTCAAAAATGTTATAAATTTATTTGCATTTTAATGAGGGAAATAAGTATTTGACCCCCTCTCAATCAGAAAGATTTCTGGCTCCCAGGTGTCTTTTATACAGGTAACGAGCTGAGATTAGGAGCACACTCTTAAAGGGAGTGATCCTAACCTCAGCTTGTTACCTGTATAAAAGACACCTGTCCACAGAAGCATTCAATCAATCAGATTCCAAACTCTCCACCATGGCCAAGACCAAAGAGCTCTCCAAGGATGTCAGGGACAAGATTGTAGACCTACACAAGGCTGGAATGGGCTACAATACCATTGCCAAGCAGCTTGGTGAGAAGGTGACAACAGTTGGTGCGATTGTTCGCAAATGGAAGAAAAACAAAATAACTGTCAATGTCCCTCGGCCTGGGGCTCCATGCAAGATCTCACCTCGTGGAGTTTCAGTGATCATGAGAACGGTGAGGAATCAGCCCAGAACTACACGGGAGGATCTTGTCAATGATCTCAAGCCAGCTGAGACCATAGTCACCAAGAAAACAATTGGTAACACACTACGCCGTGAAGGACTGAAATCCTGCAGCACCTGCAAGGTCCCCCTGCTCAAGAAAGCACATACATGCCCATCTGAAGTTTGCCAATGAACATCTGAATGATTCAGAGGGCAACTGGGTGAAAGTGTTGTGGTCAGATGAGACCAAAATGGAGCTCTGACATCAACTAAACTCGCCGTGTTTGAAGGAGGAGGAATGCTGCCTATGACCCCAAGAACACTGTCCCCACCGTCAAACATGGAGGTAGAAACATTATGCTTTGGGGGTGTTTTTCTGCTAAGGGGACAGGACAACTTCACCGCATCAAAGGGACGATGGACCGGGCCATGTACCGTCAAATCTTGAGTGAGAACCTCCTTCCCTCAGCCAGGGCATTGAAAATGGGTCGTGGATGGGTATTCCAGCATGACAATGACTCAAAACACACGGCCAAGGCAACACAGGAGTGGCTCAAGAAGAAGCACATTAAGGTCCTGGAGTGGCCTAGCCAGTGTCCAGACCTTAATCCCATAGAAAATATGTGGAGGGAGCTGAAGGTTCGAGTTGCCAAACGTCAGCCTCGAAACCTTAATGACTTGGAGAAGATCGGCAAAGAGGAGTGGGACAAAATCCCTCCTGAGATGTGTGCAAACCTGGTGGCCAACTACAAGAAACGTCTGACCTCTGTGATTGCCAATGAAGGTTTTGCCACCAAGTACTAAGTCATGTTTTGCAGAGGGGTCAAATACTTATTTCCCTCATTAAAATGCATATCAATTTATAATATTTTTGACATGCATTTTTCTGGATTTTGTTGTTGTTCTGTCTCTCACTGTTCAAATAAACCTACCATTAAAATTATAGACTGATCATTTCTTTGTCAGTGGGCAAACGTACAAAATCAGCAGGGGATCAAATACTTTTTTCCCTCACTGTATGCGGCATCGTGTGCCTAAGCTAGGTTAATCATATACAGGCTAAGTGATAAAAAGACAATTTTGTTTCTAAAGCACATAACTCAAGAGCATTGTCGCTTAGCAAAATATTGCTACGATCACATTGTAGGAGAGACCACATTGTAAGAAAACTCGCTCGGCGTTTGACTTCCATTTTAAATTAGGCAATCGTGAAAGAATACCTATTTGTGAATTCTCTCAACGCCTTAAACCTAATCTATAAGCAGCTCTTTGAAAACAGGAACTGTAGGTTACAATACAGCATACTTGTTTTGCTACCTACACTTTTATACGTGCTTTATAACACTGTCGGCATTGCAACCAAGACCAGTGCCTAATTAATACTGCTTCCTACAAGAAGGTAAATCTGCACCTTGGACCCAAATAAATGTACCTTCAGTACCTGCTGTTCTTATTTGTTTTTTAGGCTTTGCCCTTGTCACAATTATGGAATAACAGTGCACAAGGATCGCACTCGCGTTTCTTGTTTTTACAAAGAAACTGTGACTTAAGTCAGAGGTGGAATTGTAATGACTTGGCCTAGACTGCAGAGGGGATCCGTATCGGTCAGTGATAGACATTTTAAGGGTGTGGATGAAATAATGTTACATGCAGTTTATGCTGAAGCACTACTATCACATGTTTCAGACTGACAAAGATGTCCCGTGTAGCCTCTTACCAAACTGTTGGGGGCAAGTGCTCGTTACGACCACCTATTAAAGCCGGAACCGCTTGAGAGCTTTTGGTGAGGCCACCCAACTCTGGACCCCATCACCTTTGTCCTTAGAGTACTGATGTTTACACAATGCGCACCAGGGTTAAGCTTTTAAGGCTGAGTAGATATAAGGGAGGCTCAGGACTGCTTCGGTCTATGTACGTTGCTTTTAATATTGTCTGTGACTCGGACTTGGCGGATTGGGTTTGGAGCGCAGTGCGTTCACCACTTCTCCACCGCCCTTGCAGTGTTTTGTACACGCACAAACACACATTAATTGCAAAATATATCCAAACGCTCAAGTATACCAAATTCTCGGAAACATATGCTAGCGAGTGCGTACATATGTCTCGTGTATGTGTGTGTATTAATTTCACCTGCCCAAGTGCGATTTGTTCTCTGGCTGGCATCTTGCCCAGTGCGGGCGAGTAAAGACCTGATGGGTTTTGAAACGTAGGCAAATGAGGCATATCCGCTGACGTTGCTCAAGCGGAAGTGTCTATCGGATACTTGGCATTCTTCCACATTCTCTGCTTACCAGTTTAATGTTCCTTAATCTGTGACGCTCGTTGAGTCTCACGACGTGCTTTCAGGATGGGTCCCCCACTTGGGGTTTTGTTGCCAATTCTTTATGGTTGTTTACACAATGGGAGGGAATCTTTTAAGTACCCAAAAAGCGGATTCAGAAACCATTTGCTATACCGCCTTCGCCTTGCTACCTCACCTAACCTGGCCAGCAGGTTCAAATATACCTTGCCTGACACATGTGCGTAACAAAAATGAGGCGTCAGCACAAAATGCTAAATGCCATCGCAAAAACACAGCAAGTGCAGCTGAACCTACACACAGATGCGAGGCAAGTAGTGGTGGTGAGGATGCACGTGCAGAGTGAGGTCAATTTTATTTGATGTCGCGTCATTCATGTAAGCCGTAGCCCAAAATGTTGAGCATTACATATTCAATTTACAGCAAAAATGTTTTGTGAGATGACGCACAGATAAACAAAGTACAGAGGTGAAACACACCATGAACCAGGTGGGGTGACAGTAAATTCTCAACCTCCGGACATCAGCACAAGTCCAGAGAATAATGATGACAGTAGTAGTTTGCAAACTTCTCCTGTGTCATTCATGCAAACATCACCCCGAAGCAGATCCCAGCTGTAGGCAGCAGTAAAGAAGAACGTTTGTTTGTGTGAATTGAAAATTGAAAGGGAGCTGATTAGACTTCTGTGTAATTGGAGGTGAAAATTAGTTAATTTGCACGTCTCTGTGTGTACGACTAATTATGCCACGCAACGCCATCTTAGGCGTGAGTACAATCTCGAGAGGCATGTGTTAATTTTTTTTTGTTCTTACAAAACCAAAGGTCAGACAATACAAAGAGTTGGTACAAACCATATGATGCAACTCGACTGACCCGGAATCATGACATTTCATGCGCTCACAAATCTATGTATTCTGTGCAATGAAGGGCATTGTGTACTGTGCGGTCACCTGCAGGAACCCTGATGGAGCTGGGCATCTCGCCCATCGTCACTTCGGGGCTCATCATGCAGCTGTTGGCTGGCGCCAAGATCATTGAGGTCGGGGACACGCCCAAGGACCGCGCGCTCTTCAACGGCGCCCAGAAACGTACGCTGGACAAGTGACACTGACAAGCCCCCAAGGGTCAATCTAGCGGGGGCCTCGCGCAATCGTGTCGGGTGGGAGGAGTTGTAATCGCAATGTGTGGAGCCCCTGGTTGAGCTCTACTCGCGCTTTTCAGATGGGCTTCTGTGGCCGTCTGGAACGCTCTACCTTTCGATATTAGGGAAGCCACTGGAGCTACTCGCTTTTGAATCTAGATTGAAAAGTAATTTATTTAAAAACTGCTTTTTGTGTTTAGTTTGTGTTGTCCTTACCCCGCACCTCCGATTAGCACAGTTGGCTACGTACCTTACATACTGCCAAGTCAAATTAATTTGAGTCACACTTGGTTGTTGTTTGGTCTGTTTTTTTAATGTACTACATTTGGTTATACTCGGCACAGTAATTGTTGGTCTGACTGATGAGTCCATGTTTGTCATTTTCCTGCGTCACGGGTAGAATGTTTGAGTCATACCTGTTGGCTGCTCTATCTGGTTAGTACACGCGTGTTAATTGCCATCGTGGCATCTTGTGTCGCAGTATTTGGAATGATCATCACCATCGGGCAGGCCATCGTGTACGTCATGACGGGCATGTACGGGGAGCCTTCAGAGATGGGGGCTGGCATCTGCCTCCTCATCATCATCCAGGTATGTACACGTACAGCCCTTTTTAAAAATCAATCCACTACTGGATTAGGCCCATTCTACGAACGCGACTGTACTTCACCGTGCCGGATAGCGCATGTTAATGAAGGCGGGGAGCACACACACGTTGCATCATAATACAGTACAACAATAGATTTGGCTTCACTGCCCTCTGCCGACAGTTCCGTGCATGCTCGTCACCCACCAGTGTGATCCAGGCTCAAACCTGCTTAGCTTCTGAGGTCTGACGAGGTCGGGCATATTTCAGGTGATTTTGGTCAAAGGTCTTCCATTTATCCACACCTCCGATGAGCACGGTTGGCTACGTACGGTGCGAAAGAAGTTCAACAAATACATACACACATAGTATATTACAACAATTTGAATTTGTTTGAGTGATTTACATTGCTTGTTCGTGTTGAATTTGCTTGTGATGCTGGCAGTTGTTCGTGGCGGGTCTCATCGTGCTGTTGCTGGATGAGCTGCTCCAAAAAGGCTACGGCTTGGGCTCTGGAATCTCCCTCTTCATCGCCACCAACATCTGCGAGACGATCGTGTGGAAGGCCTTCAGCCCCACCACGGTCAACACGGGCCGAGGTGTGTGGGCACGCTGGGCACACACACACACTTGGTGACGTTTACCCACCAAGCAACTATTCTTCCTGGCATTTTCCCCACTCGCGTGGAGTCTGCTGTCCTGCTCCTTTTGACTCGTTCTTGTCCTGGGCCATCATCTCCACGTCCACTCTGCAGTCCTTCATTTCCCGGTTTACCAATAATGACCTCTTTCTAGGCCTGCCCTTGGTGCTTCCTTGTTAACTATTTCTTCTGCCAATGTGGATTTTCTTGCTCCTTACAACATGGCTAGCCTTCAGTTAACTTTCTTCTCGTCTCAAGATTCCATGCTTGCTGTATTCCTTCTCTTCAATCCAGTCTTGGCATAACTGAGATTCATCTTGTCATCTTCATCTCTGCAGTATACAACAGCTGCTCCTCCTCTGGTTTTTATAGTCCAACGTTCACACCATATATTAAATATACAGGTTCTCTCAAACTGTTCTTTGCTATTCTGTGTATTTAATTGATGTCTCGATGCTGACTCAACATTAACTACGTTACAGCGACTGGAAATAATTGAGAACAAATGCATGGACAACCTGAATGTTTACAACTGGCCAGATAGTGCAGTGGTTAGAACGTGTGGCTCAACATTGGAAGGTTGTAAGTTAAAATCCGGTTGGAGGACAACTCGGCCTTTCCTACCTCCACGGTTAATAAAATAATTACCGCTTTGTGAGAAATTATCAGTTGTCTTGTGGGTTATCAGTCGTGCCATATGCATGTGGATACTCCACCAATAGGTCGGTGCTGTGAAGTCGAATGGTAAAGCACTTTGTATGGTCAACCATACAGTTGCCGCTTCAGTGGAGACTTTGGTGCAAAAGATAGAAAGAATCGGTGTCTGATTTTCGCATGTAAAAACATTGGACAACAAAGCATGCAGGAGGAACTAGTAGAGGTGGATTGACAGTAAAGATGGCCTTGAAAGATTAAAACGTAAGTCTACAGGAGGTGATCGCCACAGGCAGGGAAAATAACTTCATTCAACCTTCCTGTCAGCTGCCATGCCATGACTGATGGAAGGCAGGTAAAGAGACAGAGATGTAACGCTCTGTCTGGCATGGTTCCCACGTGTTCCGTCTTACGAACACAGGCACGGAGTTTGAGGGTGCGTTCATCGCGCTCTTCCACCTGCTGGCCACACGGCAGGACAAGGTTCGCGCGCTCAGAGAGGCCTTCTACCGGCAGAATCTGCCCAACCTGCACAACCTCATCGCCACCGTCTTCGTCTTTGCTATTGTCATATACTTCCAGGTAAAGCCCCCTTTCCCATTTGTCTTTGTATGTCTTGTTTCCTTTGCCAGTGGCTTAAGTGTAGGTTTTTTTATTGAGCTCACCCATTAAGTTGCTCTGGGTGGTGATCGTAGGCCAGTTAACCCTTTCTCCTTCCGTTGACGTACGTCATCAGTTTTTCTTTCGGTCCTGTTCCGATTGACGTACACGTACTTTGTCGGTACCGAGGCTCCCGCAAGGCCATGCGGGGGAGGGCGTGTGGCACAGTTTGGTGCCAGCTATCATAGAGAGTACGGTCGTGTCGCTACAGTTCTCTGCGGTGAGTACAATGTCTTTAAAAACAACGGCGCTATGCCTCTCATGTCACCGTGCACTTCCAAGATTCAGCGGTGAACGGGAACGCACCCTGCAATTTGCAGTTGCCTCGGAAAGGGTCAAAATGACGATTGTTAGATGTGGTGATGATGCCGATTCACAACTTATTGTTGATAACGATCCTGCACGTATTGATGATGACTGTGATGCTCGACGGGTGGTGGGAAAAAAAAACGCCGACGTTTACGAACCACCGCCATCTTTGCTGTTCGCCACTCAGGGATTCCGCGTGGACCTGCCCATCAAGTCCGCGCGCTACCGTGGCCAGCAAAGCACCTACCCCATCAAGCTCTTCTACACCTCCAACATCCCCATCATCCTGCAGTCAGCCCTCGTCTCCAACCTCTACGTCATCTCGCAGATGCTCTCCGTGCGCTTCAGCGGCAACTTCCTCGTCAACCTCCTCGGCACCTGGGCTGTGAGTTTTGCCCCGAGGCCTTTGCCGTGGCCACGCTTGTTGGTTTTTTTACGCACGTGCCCCGTTTTGCTTCAGGCAAAGTTATTACCCGTTTGTGTGAATAAACCTGTGGGAATAGTCGGAGAAGATACGAGCCTCTCGTTTGCCAAGGCTAGGGAGGTTTGTTGTGTCATTTTTGTAAAATGCGTTTGCACGCACGCTGAAAGTGCATTTAATATTTTTTCCTAATATAACTGCATTATGTGCCAGTGACATGAGTTCAAATTCATGCCATGGCTAATATCGGTGGCGTGACATATCTGATCCGGTCCCGGCTCCCCCCACTTCATCAACCCGTACTGTGACCAGTGTGGTGAAGTGTGGTCAAATAACCCCCATGGACTGGCACGACATTGCCAGTGCCATCATTCCAGTAGCGTTATTGGCAGTTTTTTTTAAACATTAATAAAACTTTCTGTACAGTTAAAAAATACTGCCTGTTCTCCGATTGACTGGCTGTCGATGTGAATGTTGCCTACATTCACTCTACATGGTAAATGTTCTCCTCCTCTCTCTGCTCTGAAAATTGTCCTTTGCCCAGAAGATTAGCTCATCCATTTTTCTCTTTACAAGGCAATTTTTTTTGTGATGCAGGTGGTCATTTTTTTTATTTTGAAAAATAAAGTTGGTAAAGGTTTAAAACGTTTCAATACAAATCCACCGACGTCATTGGCAGCAGTTCTGTATGGTCTGTTGTGACAGCCTGGGTCAATGCTACCTTTGTCTTCTCATACCTGCCTCTCTTACAACCAATGTGTACAAAATACGTGTGTGGTTGTGATGGATTGATGGTAATATATAGCTATTTTATATATTTATGTGGATAAATAAACCTCTGTTTATTAATTCTTTCTTTCGTATCGTATTTTAAATCCAATCGGCTACGTTTATAATTGCTAGTTGAGTTTGGAATGCCACGTGATGGCGTCTATGGTTAGCCAGATTCAGTCAATTTGTACCCCCTGCACATCACCGATAGTGCAGGTTGCCACTATCGGTGATGTGAGTCGATGGCTTGAACTTCTTCACAGTCCACTTCTTAATTCCCTATTTATGGAGGAAATTTTATTATTCGATGCCGCATTACCAGTGGTGCACAAGCATAATTCACAAAAAATAAATTCAACACGTTCTTGAATAACACCGCCTTCACAATATATAATAGGCGACATTTCAGGCCCTGGCCGTTTTGTAGACTCCTATGATATTTTTCCTTTCAGTCCTGCGTGTAGGAGGAAGCTGGACAACCTCCCATGTCGTGGCTCTAATGCGGTGTGCAGTGTCGTCACGGAACCGATTTCTGAACGAGTAATTTATTTCATTCACCTATTCATTCCTAACGAACTGAATGTTCCGTCGACGCGCGGCCATGCGTGCGCCGCTGCGTAGGACGTCGGCGGCGGTGGGCCCGCACGCTCGTACCCCGTGGGAGGCCTCTGCTACTACCTGTCCCCGCCGGAGTCGCTTGGCAGCGTGCTAGACGACCCCGTTCACACGGTCATCTACATCATCTTCATGCTCGGCTCCTGCGCCTTCTTCTCCAAGACGTGGATCGACGTGTCGGGATCGTCCGCCAAGGACGTACGTTACGCGCGGACGGTTTTTACATCCGCGCGCGCCCCTTTAGCTTTCGGCGTGTTCTGACTCGATCCGGAAGGGTCGGAGAGTCGTAGGCGCATGCTCTCGAGAGTTGTCTGGATTTCTTTCACAAGCAGTATGAGCGTTAATAATAGTAATGATGGGTTGTTTTTCATTCGTACAGATATTAGGCACGTTTCTTTCCTTTGGGTTAATGGTTGGGAAAAAAGTTGCAGCGTTAATAAAAGTACAAATGACATGGACTACAAAGGAAGGCTATTGTAGTCTTGCATATGGCAATGTTCCCGAGCTGACTTACAAATAAAATGAGATAGGAGTACGAAAGACAATAACATAAATAATAATTTCTTTCCGAATTCAATTGTGACTCCACATAAAGGAAAATGAAATCGCGAGCATGAACAGTGACATACATAGTTAACTGGAAAAAAGTGTACCTTCTGACTAAAGGATCGACTTGGTTTAATTTAGGCAACTGCAGCTTCAGCAAAACTGCAGCTTCAGCAACCTTTTTCACAGCTGCGTTAACGTTTTACATTCTCCATCGATTACAGAATCCTCTTTCGCGATGCCGCCTCAATGTTGGCCACATCTGCTGAAGCACAGCCCTATGAATACGATGTTATTTTTAAACAAACCAGAATGCTAACAAAAAAATTGTTGCAAAATTGTGGTGTTGCGAGCAGCGTTTTACACACTGCACTGTGAACCCAGTGATACGAGGTTCAGTTCACTAGGCAGAGTTAACTGATGCACCGTACCTTGCTTTCTCCCCCTTGCGTGTGCAGGTTGCCAAGCAGCTGAAAGAGCAGCAGATGGTGATGAGAGGCCATCGTGAGCAGTCCATGGTGCATGAGCTGAACAGGTAAGGAGGATCGTCTCTTATGTCCTGCGGGTGGTGCTGTCCTGCTGCGTAGCAAGTCTAGTTTGTCAGCCTCCTTGGTCGTCTTTATCGACCATCGTCTCATGCAGCTGAAGCTCTGTCCATTATTTTGCGGCACCGAGATGAGTAGCTACACACCGAACTACTTAATGCACACCAGACTTGGTTCTCAAGAGTCGTGTAGTTTATTATGTTGTAGTAATTGACCAAGAAGAGCCTCGCCGAGTCTCGCGATTCCTTCAGACGGTTCCGCTCGGTGCGTTCAGGCCAATTCGACCTCAAGGAGTGTTTTGTGGGTACAGGGCAAATATTTGGAAATAAAAACCGAAGCTTGGCATAGGTGGGCCCTTAATCCACTTGTACGCGTCTCCTGGCCACCTCGTTCTCGTACAATTGGGAGTCGCAAATCTGCGCGACCCGCCAGTCCTCTGGCCCATAGTGTACTGGGTTTGTAGGCGTTGTGCTGTCATTCGCAGCTGAAGGAAGAAGGAAACTTAAATTAACGGCTGCTTTCGATTGAAAGCTTTCGTGACTGCAGGGATTCATATTCTTGGTTCTTTCGGTAAAGTCACGTAGAAAGGAAATAATAAAATAATACAAATCAAACTATATAATAAGACAATGAAATTCTCACGACGTTTCGATTGCAACACAAGCACAATCATCATCATCATCATTGCTTGTGTTGCAATCGAAACGTCGTGAGAATTTTATTGTTTTATTTGTATTCTTTTATTACATCCCTTCTACATGACTTTACCGAAAGAACCAAGAATATTAACGGCTGCTGTTTGGTAGTTTTTGAAGATACCTAGGGATGTGCATCACGTCCCGTTTAACAGTGAAGAGGCTTATTTAATGAGAAAAATACTTTTAATTCGTGACTGCATGACTTTCATGTTACTGCAGCATAGCGCCCTCTTGTGATAGCACAGGTAAGCTGTCTATTACTTCTTTACCCCAGCCCAGCGGTTCCCAACCTGTGGACTGTGGACCCCTGGTGGTCCGCGAGGCTACTACAGAGGGTCCGCGAGGAAATAAAATTAATAGCTTCATCATCACCAAGGAAATGTACACATTTAAAATAACTAGTGGCATGTGGTGGTGATCCGCGAAATGTTTTGAATTTGAAAAGTGGGTTGCACACTCGACAAACTATTCAACTATTTTTTTTGTATTTCACCAGGTAAGGCCCACTGAGCTATATAGCTATTTTTCAGAAGCGACCTGGCCACAAACGATAGCTCAACGAGAAGTGGCTTATCATGTGTAAATTTATAGCAGCCAAATACTCTAAACGCATGTTTCTAAATGTATGGGGGAAAAATCGGAGGGCCTGGGGAAAAATCCACTCGACCACGGGGAGAACATGCAAAATATACAGGCGACATCCGGGTCGGTCGGGATTGAACCCACGACCTCCTTTATACCAGGCAAGGTTGTTAACATCTCACCCGAGCCCCATCACCGCAGGTCAGGTCCATGGTGGTCGCTTCTGATAAAGAGCTTTATAGCTCAGTGGGCCTTGCCCGGTAAAATAAATAAATGGTTGAATAGTTCGTCGAGTGTGCCGGAACCCCTTTTCAAAGTAAAAAGAGTTAACCGTTTTATAGTTTTAAACAATGTGACATCCGATTCTTTTGTGGGTCTCATCGTCTTGTGACGATCGCGCCGCGCCAAGCGCAGCGCCGCCACGTTAACGGATCCGTTGCCCGCCGTCCATTCTCTGCGACAGGTACATCCCGACTGCAGCCGCGTTCGGCGGACTCTGTATCGGAGCGCTCTCCGTGCTCGCCGACTTCCTGGGGGCCATCGGCTCGGGCACCGGCATCCTTCTGGCCGTCACCATCATCTACCAGTACTTTGAGATTTTCGTCAAGGAGCAGAGTGAGATGGGCAGCATGGGCGCCATGTTCTTCTAATACGACGGTGGGCGGCGGGGGGTTGGGGGGAGATGGCGGGAGATGTGATCTAAGAATGGGGGGGGAGGGAAGGGGGGGTTAGGGTGGGAGAAGCAGCAGCAGATGGGGGGAAGAACGTGGACGTATCTGGTCCTGCACCTGGGCAAGTGGGGATTCGGCCAAATGTTTAAATTGCGTTTGTATCTGTCATTGTATCTGCCTCCATTGTGTGCGTGGAAAAACAAAATAAAAGTAAATAATCGTTACGCTTCACTAACATTCACCAATGTATTTAATCCTTTATTTTGTTTTTCTAAATGGACAATAAAGGATTTGGAAATTTGGTTATTTTGTTCATGATTTTTTGTCACGTTGCAAATCTACAGAAAGGACATTTTACGTGCGGTATTTCCTCATTCACACCCATGTCACCATTTGTAGCAAAGTACACGGGTGTTTGGTATTGCTTGGCATCTGCTGCTGTCACGGGGAGCCGGCGATGGGGGAGAAGGCTTGAGGGCTGGGTCAACAAGAGAAGGATGTGCAAGGCTGTGGACAAAGGCTTATCAATGTAGAGCATTTTAACGTAACTTTTCTGGCATTTGTAAAACAGATTTCACCACTTCGTCCCATCATATTTAACTCGCAGATCCCACTTGTAATCGCGATATGGACTGCCAACTCGCTGTCGATAGGTTAATTTGTTTCTGTAGTGTGATCTTTATACACACGTGTTGTTGTCGGTCTGAAAATGCAATCTGTGTAGAATGTTGGTGGGAAATAAATGGTTGGAAGGAAACACAGCAAAGCTTAGCAGCAGCAAGATTGTCAGCAGAGACTGAAGCCATACTCAGGACCTGTTAAACGCCTTGTGCTCTTGCACGAGTTGGGTCATGTTCGATAATTAAAATAGGCCAAATATACACAACGTATAACATGCGCCTACATACATGCCATAGTCTAAATGCAACGGATAATTTTTTTTAGTTGATAATTACGTTTTGGAAACTCTTTACGCGTCTCCTTCCAACAGTTTTCTTTTTTACTCCACTGGCTGTGGCCAAAAGAGGATACGAGAGACCCCTTGGACAGTTGACCAGGCATAATGTGTCTGTGTTTTACATCTGGTGGCTTTGATTTATCATCTAACTCTTGAATTTTGTCTGCTCTGATTTTAAATATTGTTTGTTATGTAACACCCCCCCCCCCGCCTTCATTCTTTTCAATTGTGGTTGATTGTCACACCGTACACGTAATAGGATCAGTTAATAATGGCTTTCCTGGACTCTCATCAGTATGACAGACATGCATTGACTGAACTGCAAACTGCCCACGCTCACGTAATTCCCCCCTCCCTCCCCATAACACATTTGCAGTTTCGGAACGAACTTTGCTGTCTTACAGTATTGCTGGGTGCTTTTATTTTCTACGCGAATTGCATTCGCCACTGCCCATTTCAACGTCCCAAGGCAACAAGCGTGCATTCAGTATTGTAATACACGTGATGCATTTCGGCGTGTTTTGTATGTATGCATTTACAACCAAAAAAAAGCTGGAATGTGTGGTTTTTGCCTTCAGTAAAACGCAGAGAACTGTGCATTCAAAACGTCAAATAAAACTCATTAAATTCCCTTAATTGTTGAATGTAATTGCCGCATTGCTAACACGTGTGGAGTGGCGATGGCTTGGCCAGGTATACATTCAGCAGGAGACTGGAAGTGGATAATTATAATGACAATGTGTGGGCTTGGTTTAAAATGAGTCTGGCGTGGCACGGAGTCATCACTGGCACAGGTAATATAAATAGAACCGGTCAGAAGTGGAGCTATATTCCCAATAGCGGAATAGCCGGTTCACGTGTGCAAGGAAGACCAAGGATGACGTGGATATATATGAAGACGTGGATATATATGAAAGCGTGGACGAGGCTTGCGTTGGAACACGATGAGGACAGTCGAAGACGGTGGTGAAGGATTGCCCATGGTGCGGCCAACCCTCGCATCAAGGATGGCTGAAGACAAGGACTCGACCACACATACGGGAGATCATTTGTCCAAAAGAAAGTGTGCCAGTGTTTTATTGATGCTGAACAAACGGGGATAGCCCTCGAGTTGTAAAATCCAGGTGGTTGAGATCTTTTAGTCTAACCTCGCTATTTTTAAGTCCCATTCAAAGTGATTCATGAGATGGCCACAATAGCGTTATGTGGCTAATGCTGTTTGGAGTCGGCACTGCTGAGATCATGAATTTGAATCCAGATGACCCCTGGTTAAGTTGAGTCTCAAGTGTCGTGAGTTGAAGTGCTTTGCTTGGTCACCAATTATATCTAAGAACCCCCCCCACCACCACCCATCCCTGGCCCCATTAAAGTATACACTTTTTTTTTTACAAAGTAAGGCCCATTGAGCTGCACAGCTCTATTGCAGAAGTGACCCAGCCACGAATGGTGGCTCGACGAAGTGGCTCATCATGTTGGAAATGGAGAGCATTTTTGTAAATGTGGAGAAACGGCCACGCGACCTCGGGGAGAATTGGCGTCGGGGTCGAACTCACGACCACCTGCGTGCATTTGTCCCCTTGCCACCGTAGTGCCCTGAAATCGGTTCCGTGGATGTGGTTTTGGGTCGTACCGCGTGTTCTGCGTGATGTCTGATGCTTCGCTCCCAAATGTTGGGAGCTTCTTTAGGAACTAAATGCAGTTATTGGGAGCTTCAGGAACCGATTTTAGTTTGGCTCTTGAAGAACCCCCAAGGACGTGGAGTGAAACGTTGGACTTGGCGAAAAACATGGTACAACCTGAAAACACAATCGAGCTATACAAAACATCTGCAAAACCCCTATAACACAGTATTACATTTGGTTTTTAATTCATTTGTGCCAGTTCATGCTAAATATTTTTTGTATATCAGTTTGACATGGCAATGAATAACATTTGCAGGGCATATCAAAAGGCACATCACCTCGTGTGGATAAAAGGCTAATTGAAGGAACTATTTACAATTTCTTTGGTTCTGTGACATCGTGTTTCCTAATGCGGAGTGATGGGCTCGCTCGTTTCTCCATGAGTTACAAAACACATTCCTACGGAGGGAGCTGGTAGGAATGTTGGGTTGCTCGGTCAATGGCCAGGGTCAACGGCGGCGTGGTGTATTCCGAAAATATGCCCGACTGTGAGGGTGGGCACAAGCCGGCGTGAGTAGGTTAAACGTTGAGTTTTATAAGGGCACCACGGGGTGACCAGCCCCTCCCCACCCAGCCCCTCCTTACTCCCCCCTCCCCACCCAGCCCCACCCTCCCCTCTTCACCGAGCCCCACCCCTGCGAATTTTGGATGCACGACGGACAGACGGACACAATAATCCCCTGTGGGCTGGTGTAACCAGGAGGTTCCTACCAGTATTAAATTCGTTCTTGTCTTCTGACAACATGAAACCGATGGCACAATTGGAAAAGGGGGGAGATTTAAAATAAAGAAATAAATCAAACTGACTGAGTGAGCGGCAATTAAAGTTCACCTCTGCTGTCTTGACAATGATGATGTGATACGATCTGCAGTCAAAAGTCCATCACGCGCTGATAGTATCAACCATAAATCAACAGGTGTTCGTGCGGCGCGAGGGTGGGGGGCATTTTACATATGAATGGGCGCCTACAATTCCACGTGATTGATGTGAAAAGATGGGATGCACGAGATGCATGCAACAAAGAGGGTCCCGGAACCCACAGATGCTTTCATTCTGAAGAAGCCAAAACGGGGATCTACAATCCCAACATTCGCTGGGTCAGGTGAAGGTCACGCACAGCTTAAATTGGAATTCTAAATTGAAATCTGTTGATAGCGCAATGTGGCTTGATCGGCTTGTAATGATTAATGACCCTTGCAATTCGATTAATTGTCAAGTATGTATGTTGAAACTTCTTTGGCACCGTACGTAGCCAACCGTGCTAATCAGAGGTGCGGACTGATTCGGAGTCACAATCCGAATCGAATTTTTAAAAATTTACAAGACATTGTAAATGTTAACATCTGAGAGTGGCAGCAAAGAGCACATCAACTAAAGGCACGCAAATCGAAAATAATTATCACGCCTGATTTAAAGCATGGCTCGTGATGAGAATAGGTTTTCCCCTTTTTCCCGCAACATAACAGGTGTCTGCATTAACCACAATACTTGATTCCTTGTAAAAGGTTTCAGTTTGGTGTTTTAACATCTTAACACCTGTTTTGTTGGCAGAACAAATGGGAAAACCTATTCTCATATTTTGGTACTGGCAAAGGAGGTCCCATGATAAGAATTGATTTTAATCCATGGATTGATACATCGCTACACCCTTACTGGATAGGGTAGGAGAGGAGCAATCATTAATGTCGGTGGTGAGTTGACGAGAAAGGTGACTTCACTTACGACCACAGGCTTAATTAGCACTAACTTAATATTGCAGATGGTCAATCGGTTTGTAGGCAGGAACTGCAACTTTGCCATGCGTGCACAATGCATGGGTCTTATGTATTTGTTCTTGCTGCACATATGGTACATGTGTTGATCCACTGCTGGATGAGGGCCTCCCCACACCGTGCGAGTCGTAGCGGTTATTTGGCCATGCTTCACCCATGCTGGGCAATGTAGGTCGGTGCAGGTTGGGAGAATATAAATACAGAAGAATGACGTTGCTGCACAGTACTCTTGCCAACTGCAGCCGATGTCAACCTGCTGTGCAAGCATTGGCCAGGCTCAAGACTTGCTTATCTTTCGAGATCCGATGCAGAACAAGTGCATTGCCGGTGACTTGGTCATCAGCTTGCATGTCTAATTTGTGCCTATTTTCGACGTTATTCTGCCAGCTCAATTTGTTGCGTATCTTTCTACAAAATAAAGAAGATTGAGTCTCAATGGGCACCGTAAAAGAATATAAAGTTCATGTATTTTGTGTGTAAAAAAAAACTAAGGTGTAAAGTGCTTATGATCAAATCACGCTGAATGTTCCAAGTTTCATCAGATCTCGGAAGCTAAGCAGGCTTGAGCCTGGATAGTGCTTGGATGGTTAACGACCGTGCACGCCAGGTCACCATAGGGCTGCGTGGGGGGGGGGGAGCAGTGCAACAAAATCTGTTGTCCTGTACTTCTATGTTTCCACATGTTGACCTTCGCAAACCCACACTGACAAGTATAGCAACGTACGAGCAGAATCTAAATATTTGTTTAGACTGGAGTAAATCCGATTAGCTATGAAGCTCTTTTTTACAGACGTCCTAGTAGGTAGGTTAAATACGAAGTCCCAGACTTACGAACACAATTAGCTCATGAGACCCATTCGTAAGTCGGAACACAGCAATTAATTGTATTTAAATACCAACGCACACAAACATTCCCAGCGCGAGTCGGACTCATTGACATCTTGCGGAGAATCGCTCAGTTCGATAAAATTGTGCTACCGTTCAATTTGCAACTGAGTTATCGTTTTAAGTCAATGTAAAAAAAAAACTATTATATCATGGAAGCTGGTTCCTAAGCGCAGGTGTTCCTAAGTCGAGGACTGCCTGGAACGACCTGCACGGCGCGGGAGAAGGCCTTCATCCAGCAGTGGACAGAGACCAAAAGGGCCCTACACGTGAAGATGAATTAGGGTTCTGCACTTAGCGGAGCAGCGAGGATAAACCACTGCGGAGTACCGGCGGCGATGAGAATTCGTGAATTTATTTAAGTCGCGTTTTCTGCCTCTCGCTCGCCTTATCTCCAGCCAAGGTCTCCCCCCCCCCCCCCCCCCAAAAAAAAAAAATTCGCGTGCGCAAGCCGAGGCCATAAATCAAGATGCCTGGAGCCGGGTAGAACCGAAGGCGGGGGGGAAGGCGAAAAAATAAATAAAAGGCGGGAACAAAAGGATCGGTTTATCTGGTGGCGGGCTGGCTGGCAGGCAATTTATTTTGCTGCATGCGTTAATTTGGGGGGGGGGGGGGGGGGGGGGGGCGAAAGCTGGCCGACAGGATAATGCATAGGTGTCGAACAAAGTTGGACGATTATATGTGGAAGTAGGTAACCTGTTTAGCAAACGGATACCGAAAGACCCAAATAATACAAAGGGATGACGTTTAAAATTGTGCACGTGGGCACACGGACGCCGCTCGCCGCGTGCACGATGCATAATGCAAACGAGCTTTTGAAAGCCCGTTGTTTTTTTTATTGACAAGAGCGTTGTGGTTACATCTCGAAGATGTTTGCGATGAGATAGCGTGCATATTTTATTCAGGTTTTGGGAAGATAGTGGAGGGGGGGGGTTTGGCAAGTGTTCCCTCACAGACTGATTTTGTGCGCTGTTATCAGCATTATAAAGTTGCGAGGTGTTTAAAATCCCCATTACAGATAGGGGTTGTAATTGGCAGTGGTAAATTTACAGAACGTGTCCTGGTATCCATTGCCAGGGTGTCCATTCCTGTTGGGATTTAGTGGTGGTGGCGGCCTGCAAAGTTGTCCTACAAAACTCCACTTGATTCCCTTTACAAGGGAGCTTCATGGCATCCTTAATGTGGGCCCTATGAACGTTTGTTTGCCGAACATTTATAACCACAAGCGTGTCTCAATAGTATTGTCTGAATTAGAGTTGGCAGTCTCGGCACCGTTCCTTTATCGCCGTGCTGAATATTATTACGCACTCATCCCATAAACACATTGCACATCCAATCTCTTGCCCGTGCCTCTTCAAAAGCCATTCAGCTGTCACCCTCGGCATAGTTCAACCACCGCCGAGCTCCCGAGTTTGTGAGTGAACGTTGCTGTCCTCGCAATTGCCAGCTCGGTTTGTCCGTACGCCCAAACCCATCCCCCTGTGAAAGTCATTTGGCCAGAATTGTACAATTGTATTTAGAAATGACAGGTCACGTGACAGAGCCGAATTGGTTTTAAGGCTACGGGCGCTGAAATCCGCGACTGCACTTACCTGGAGTTATCAATCGAGACACGGGGAAGAGATATGGGGGGGGGAGGTAAACGTACCAGAGACTACTCTTTGGTTCTTTCGGTAAAGTCACGTAGAAAGAGAAAATAATAAATTAAATAATAGCATACGACGTTTCGATTGCAACACAAGCAATCATCATCAGGTACAAACGAAAGAGAAACAAACCTAGTAAACGTATAAATATAATGCAATACAAGAGATAGGCTAACAGCTTAGCCGACTATCTGTGTTATATTACATTATATTTATAAGTTTAATAGGTTTGATTAGGTTTGTTTTCTTTCATTTGTACCTGATGATTGCTTGTGTTGCAATCGAAACGTCGTATGCTATTATTTAACACGTAGGCTTTCGCGACCAATATTATTCATAATAAAGGTTTTTGGGTTAGATCGCGTTATTTATAAATGTGTCGAAACCCTCCACCACCCGACATGGCCAATCAGCAAAAAAAAGGGTGTCACGTTGACAAAAGACAAATAGTTCTCTACTTTAGCACACCGGTGTGTTGGAAGAGTGAATCTACAACATTTACAGTTTGAGTACGACGTTTCGCTGGTAATTACACCCAGCATCATCGGGCAATTCGCCAGAACGGTAAAGCCCTCGCTTGCTCCCGGTCTTAAATAGAGCAGCAGGGTGACGTCATCATTTAACTCATTTCAGGTGCAGTGATTTGAGGCGGAGGGGGGGGTATCGCTATTATTTAATTTATTATTTTCTCTTTCTACGTGACTCTACCGAAATAACCAAAGAGTAATTCCTGCAGTCGCGAAAGCGCCAAATCAAGTTTGTACCAGTGACTCTCTTAAGAATTCCTTCGGCTGAGGAAGAAAACCCCTTTATTTTATGCACCTTAAACAAACACACGTTATAAAATATCAAAAGCACATTCGTTACACGACATGAAACAGGTGCACGGTGAAATCTGCGGCTTGTGTATCAGTGAGGAGTCACCATTTGTTCTCAGTGTTTATAAACAGAGGGCTCCTTCATTAACATGCATTGGACCTACATCTCCATCTCTTGCAGACACACAATGCTCAGAGCACGAACACAAGTTTAAGAGAGTTAACTTTTTTTTAGCCATTTGTCAATATTGTTGAGCTTTCTATAAGTAGGCATCATCGGTCTACTGTATAAAATGAACGTAGGAATGCGTGCATCAATCACCGTCAATAAATGCAGCGGGCAGAGATTAAACGATATGCAGGTGGTGTAGCAGACTGGCTCCTCCACGAGCTGGATTAAAGGCACATTGGCTCGGATTAGCGAGCGCAAACGTGTGTGTGTGGTCTTGCCGTAGAGACAGTTGAAGGTAGAGTTTAGCACGTGGTGTGCTGCACTGGATTATAATTGCAACGGTAGCAATGCCCTTTATTCACCCAGGAAATCCTCACCGAGTCTCAGGACTCTATCGCAGTGCTCATCATTTTATTTATTCCATGGCACACTGTCGAGCTTGCTCAGTCTCTGCGGTGCTCCGAACCAAAACTAAACAATTTTTTTATTATTTTACCACCGAGCTGTATAGCTCTTTTTTTTCAGAAGCGACCTGGCCACAAATGATAGCTCAACAAAGTGGCTTATCACGTGGAAATTTGTAGCAACCAATTAACCAAAACGCATGCTTATAAATGTGGAGGGAAAAACCGGAGGAACTGCAGAAAAACCCACGCGACCACGGGGAAAGAGAAAACTCCAAGCTCCAAATATACAGGCGTCGGGATCGAACCCACGACCTCCTGTATACCTCGCGAGGTAGTGAACATCTCACCACCGTAGCGTCCCAATAAATTGCCGTGGGCCCCGGGTCGGTGGGTGGAAATGCACTGCAGCTGTCGTACCGTGCACGCACGGCCAATAGAGAGGGCAGGAAGGGAGATAGGGGTCCGATCGACCACTGAATGGCACGAGAGGAGAATTCTTCTGCACTATTCTGCTAGCTGAGGTTCTTTCCCTTCTGTACTTCCAAAACTAGCGTAGCACACCTTGGCCAATGCCGCGAGACACTGGTTTGTCAAGTACCACTATTAGGCATGTTTGGATAATTATCGTAATTAGTGGGTGTCTGGCACGTGGGAGGAAACCGAAATAAATAAAATCCATGCATTCTTAAATACATCCACACAGATGTATTTAAGGATCTATTGCTGTAGTTATCATCCAACCACCTCGCAAGCCAAGCCTACAACACCTGGTATTCCCAGGCAGCCCTCTCGTCAAATTGCTAACCAGTATCATGCCTGCTTAGCTTATGAAAATTGCATGCATTCAGGTTGATGTATTTATAGACATTAGGAAGGGTAAAAAAACAAGATCTGCTCCATACCTGTTACTATGTAATAAACTATTTAAATAAATAGTTCCGCCTTGCAACAACTCGTGTCAGAAGATTTTAAATAAGAGCTCATGGAGATGTGCACATCCAAGGCATTAGCACTCATCATCAGCCACGATCAATCCACCCTCTCGTGATCCAGCGATGCGACAATCAACGCAGCACGTAAACCAATCTCATCGCCTCTGTCTCCTCGGTGGACATAAATCCCCAAGACGACCTCGCGATCTGCAACATGCGTGCGAGTAGATTTTCTTAAAAAAAAGTTTTAAAGGGGGGTCGAGGCCCAAGCCAAAGTTTACACTCAAACCAACAGAAAACTATTTAAGGGGGCGACAGTCATATCCGTAACTTTTAGGCAAAGTCGAACAGGGAGCAATGTGTAATTGCATTAAAAGTTTCATTAATTCAATCAAAATGTTGACAATTTATTTTTCTGACCTTAGGTGGTAAGTTATTTCAGTAATAATTATTCTATAACTCTACAATATGTAGTAGAAACCTTAATGTAACCACCTCAATGTTGCATGCCGTGTGCCTGCAGTGTTGAACACAGCCGACTTACATCGCAGACCAACCCTTGTGTTCCGCACCAAGACCTCCTATTGCATTCAGCCACTCACAGGCTCACTCCCTTATGGAAGAACCTCAACAGACCACTCGACCAGTTCATCAGAACGTAGGGAGCGGGCCCCATGAGTTTTCAGTTATAAGAAGGCTTCTACCTCATACGTGTGTGTGGCATATATATACCCCCAACCACTGGGCTGCGGCTACTTCATGTAGCGGTGAGCCTGGTCAGCGAGGATCTTTGCGGAGGACTTGGCGTCGTAGAAGAGCTCGCTGATCTCCTGCACGTGCTCGCGCTCGATCGTGTCCTTGCCGTGGATCTTGGCCAGCAGATTCGCCGGAGTGAGCAGCTGCATCGCGTATCTGCTCCAGCAGGGGAAAACGACGAAGGAGAAAAGCAAAACATCGTAACACGCCTAAGGAAGTGACCGGGCGGCTCAGATGTCAGGACGCTGACTAAGCAATTGCCGCCGTTGAGACCCTGATGGTTCGACTGTTGTGATTAAACCAGGTGCTCAAGTGCAGTGAGTTGATGGTCTCGGCCCGGTCAGCAATAAACAGACAAAAAAAGACAATCCCATCACGTAAAACCTTGCTTCTGCACTTATATTGACATTTTAGTTCGTGAAAATTAAAAATATTGGTTTGACTGTCATAAAACAGACATTTCTCTCCACAGCAGGAAGGGTAGGAAGTGCTGCCATTCTACTGTGTAGAGCAGAGGTTACGTGGAGGGATCTCAAAAGTAGTTCTCCGATATCTACTTCCACGAGTTGCTCTACAACCCAAAGGATTGCACTGATTCTGCGAAAGATCCAAATGGACCGTTTGTAATGACATGACACTGACCAGTTTGCTTCCTGCTCACGGCCAACACCAGTGACTATTTAAACCGGTCCTGGGCCTCCCCTGGGTCGACTCAGCCTTAAATGAGTACCTGGTGTGGTGTGTAAACATCGCCACTAGGGAACAAAGACGACTGGGCATGGTACTGACCACCCACCCCTCGTGTGCTGTGCTGGCCTTCATAGTCGCTGGCTAACAGCACTCGCCCCAACACTCTGCAAAGGCTATATATGGGGAATCTTGGTCTTTGTGTACGGTAGTGCAATGTTAAAATAAAAAGACTCCTGCGTAAGTTAAGCTGACCTGGTTCACTTAATCAGGGATAAAACTGGTGGCAGACACGCATGGCATTACTATTTATAGTTTAACGCTGTGGTCTTTTTCTAAAATTAAGCAGCCTTCTTGCACTTTCACCACCAAGATGTAATGGAAACATTGTTTTTACCAACTGAAGGACGCTACTTTTAGATAGCTCTCCAATTACAGTTTTTTTTTAAGAAAGCAATTTAGATAATTAATCACAGATATATATAAAGAAAATCTTGTTTGTGTACAATTCCTTGAGATAAGTCCTGCTACGTTCACGGACGTTTCCCCAGCACTGCAACTATTCTGGGCCCAATAATAATCAACGTAAATTAATCTAATTTGAAAAAAGAACAACCCTGCAAGGGAGAACGTATTAATCATTAAATTAAATCTTCACAATGCACGTGAAATTAATTTAGAAAATTGCGCTGTTCCTGGCCTTGCGGGTCACGCGAGAGCCACTGGCATCCTGACCTCCGCGTGCCCCGCAAGAGTTGCGGACATTCTCTCCCCCTGGTGCAGCCCTTCCTTTGAGCTCATCACCACAAAGGTAATTACAGATGACCTCCCCCCCGCCCTCCCCCCCCCACCAAAACTGATTAGGGATGCTCCCCACGGCTTCCATGGTTTGCTACGAGCGACACCAAACTGCTTGGCAACAGCGCCGTGGTGGCGTGATATTAACCACCTCGCCCGGTAGACAGGAGGTCGTGGGTTCGATCCTGAACCCTGACGCCTGTTGCATATTTGGAGTTTGCGTGTTCTCTCTCTGTGGTGGTGTGGATTTTTTTTTTTTAGAATAGACGTGCGTTTAGAGCATTTAGCTGCTATAAATTTCCACAAGATAAGCCACTTTTTGTTGAGCTATCAACTTGCGGCCTGGTCGCTTCTGAAAAAGCGCTACATATTAAAAATAGTTTATAGTTTACATTGGTGTCCGATTGACCAAGACCCCTCCACTCGCACAGCCACCTTCCACGGTGAGGCGAGATGTCAAGAGCGGCGATATTCCCCGGCTCCCCAATGTTGCGCTCGATTGATGCAAGTGGTTGGAGGGCCACGGCGGTGAAAGGATGACCAACAAGGTGTCAAGAGCCGCTCTATTCATGGAGCCCCGCTTTTGTTTGGTAATTCGATCAGAGATCTGCAAACGGTGGCAAATTCTCGTCACTTGCATCTCTGTTTGCTTACCTTGACTTCCTAGTTCTCGTCCTACTGCACGTTTCCCTCGCCTCGCCTTGCCTCGCCGCATTTGTTTATTACTCACGCTCATAGCATTGTCTCTATTGTTATACTTTACGAAATATTAATATAAAAAATACGTATTCATCTACGATTTCAGATCTGACTGCATACCTGAGGTATTCACCGTTTGGCAAGAGAGCAAAATGTGCCATTCGGTGCACCCCTACGCTTCATATACAAACAATTTGGATTTATGCTGCATCTAAATGCGAATGCATCCAAAGACGCTGTACAAAAACAGCGTGCGTACATATCCTATATATATAAATAACCCTATGCCTAAATGCATATATATTAGCGCGGTTGGCTATGTACGAGGCAAAAGAAGTTCAACATACGTGGACACGTGCATGCCGACGTGCCGCGGGAACTCACCGCAGAGTTGACTTGTTGCCGATCTCCCCGAGGTGCACCACAGCCTCGTCACTCAGCCTGATGCTCTCCGTGTGAGCCCGGATCTTGATGATCTGGAACGCGCGAGAGCAGCCAAGCGGATTTTAATGCTGGGGCGGTGGTAAAAATCACTCTGAGTGCGCCCGCTCTCATCAGACCTCAGAAGCTAAGCAGGGTTGAGCCTGGACAGTGCTTGGATGGGAGACCGCTGTGCACAAACAGGCTGCCCGTGGGGCTGTGTGGTTGGGCAGCAGGGGGCGGTGCAGCAACGTCACACTGTGCACTTCTAATGCTCCACGCCTACACCAACTTACACTGACCAGTGTGGGGAAGTATGGTCAAACAACCCCCATGACCTGCACGGAGTGGGGAGACCCTAATCTAGCGGTGTAATAACAAAATTCCTGTACATTTACATGTGTGTGTATGTGAGTATGTAAATATGCAATTTATATGTATGACTTGTATTTATATACTCCTACACCACGGTGTCTCCGTAGAGGAGCAACGGGTTTCATACGGAGACGTCATCACTTCCATTTCAACCACTGTGTGTACATGCCATACATACACGTACACAGACACACAAACAATACAGACAAAGACCCCCTGTATAGCCTTAATATACTGTTGGGGACAAGTGCTGTTAGCGACCACCTATGAAGGCCAGCACGGCCTTCATAGGCCACCTTCGTCTCCCGAGTGGCGATGTTCACACATTGCAGTGTGCGTTGGTCGTCGAGAGGCCGAGGTCACCCACCTGCACCATCTCGTCGGGCGTGTAGAGCATGGTGCGCACAATCATCACGCGGTCCAGCAGGTCCAGTGGGATTCCGTGTGGCGACAGCACGTCCTCCGTGCCCCTTGGGGGTGGGGGCACACGAGTGCGTCCCTCACGTCACCACCACCGCCACCAAACGCACGCAACGTTCAAACGTTCTCGCTTTCGAGGTCTAGAGGTCAAGGCCAATGCTGTTGATGCTACTACACCGTCGTGTTACTCAGGTTTGTCCTTCAGACATTCATTGTGTTAGTGCATCATTAAATTACGATCTCTTTGGTGTTGCTGCATTTCCATTGTCTCCTGTTTCCATCAAAAGCGAATATCAACAGGCCATCGGTCAATACCACCAATGCCAACACACCTCAACATCCTTACCATGATTGATGCGTAATTGTTATAGAGTCAACATCGATCTCAAAGGTCCCCTCTTACAGTATCCTCAATTTCATCTCAAACTTCAGGTCTTCCCCTTAGGTCGCCAAACCCTAGTTGTAACTCCAATGACTGTATCGGTAACCTGCCCTCCTCCATCCTGCACAAGCGTTCCACCCATCACAACCTCCTTTTTCTCCCGATCACATCTCCAATGACTTTCTTTCCCAGTTTAGTCATTAACTGCCAAGTTGACTACCCTATCTTTCCATGAAATATCTAGCAGATGTTATTTATGTGTGGTAGCAATCAACCCCAAATCAACTGAAGCCATTCCCTGGCTAACTAACCAGGACGTAAACTTGCAAGTTGCTCTTCGCAACAGACATATGCGCGAGAGATCAACAAGTTATTTTCGGCTAGAAACACACATCGGACTACCGTCTTTTCTCACCAGCAATCCAGCAAATGCGGCCTTACCGGATGATGCACCTGCCCCGGTTGGTGGCGAAGATGACGATGGGCGCGATGGAGGACTCGAGCGCGCGGTGAAGGTAGGTGAAGCACTCGATGTCCAGCATGTGTACTTCGTCCACAAACAGCACGCCTGGCACCAACTCCGCCACGCCCTGGTCGATGTACTTGTTTACCACCTTGTTGATCTCCCCGCGGAGCTTGTCTGAAAAAATGTATGCATGCAAAACAAAGATCCCTTACAGACTGTATGTATGGGAGCCGCGGTAGCGAGATGTTAACTCTCTCGCCTGGTATGCAAGAGGTCGAGGGGTTCGATCCCGACCCTGACGCATGTATATTTAGAGTGTGCATATTCTCTCTCCCCGTGGTCACGTGGGTTTTTCTTTGGGTCATCTGGTTTTTCCCTCCACATTTAGAAAAATGCATTTCGAGTTATTTGGCTGCGATACATTGACCTATCGTTTGTGGCCAGGTCGCTTATGAAAAAGAGCTATATATAGCTCAGTCAGCCTTACCTAGTCAAATAAAAAATCGTAACTAGTTAAAAATGTATGTATGTTGAACTTCTTTCGAACCGTACGTAGTCAACCGTGCTAATCGGAGGTGCGGAAGAAGAACTGTTGGGACAAGTGCTGTTAACGAGCACCGATGAAGGCTGGGGTAGTGCGGCCCAGAACCACACCCGGCCATCTTTTTCTCCCCCCCCCCCCCCCACAGAAGTTTGCAGCAGCTACAAGCTCAAGGCCAAGTCCACCTAGGGGAGGCCCAGGGTGGGTTTAGATAATTGCCAGGATCGTAGCATAGTAATGCGATAATCATGACGCTACTGCGTAGTGATGATATAATCCACGCACGCACACAAGCTGTGATCGTGCAATGGAGCCACACACTTGAATGTTATCCACTCTGCTTGTCCCATGCATAAATGGTCATTATCTTTATTACCTCCATTATCTTGCTACAATCGCACAATATATCTGTGCCATCAGCCATCCACCTGCTGCACGTATGAAACAATCTAGTCAATATAGATATCAGTTCATTTATTTAGCGATGTACAGTGAGGAAAAAAAGTATTTGATCCCCTGCTGATTTTGTTCGTTTGCCCACTGACAAAGAAATGATCAGTCGATAATTTTAATGGTAGGTTTATTTGAACAGTGAGAGACAGAATAACGACAAAAAAATCCAGAAAAACGCATGTCAAAAATGTTATAAATTGATTTGCATTTTAACGAGGGAAAAAAGTATTTGACCCCTCTGCAAAACATGACTTAGTACTTGGTGGCAAAACCCTTGTTGGCAATCACAGAGGTCAGACGTTTCTTGTAGTTGGCCACCAGGTTTGCACACATCTCAGGAGGGATTTTGTCCCACTCCTCTTTGCCGATCTTCTCCAAGTCATTAAGGTTTCGAGGCTGACGTTTGGCAACTCGAACCTTCAGCTCCCTCCACAGATTTTCTATGGGATTAAGGTCTGGAGACTGGCTAGGCCACTCCAGAACCTTAATGTGCTTCTTCTTGAGCCACTCCTTTGTTGCCTTGGCCGTGTGTTTTGGGTAATTGTCATGCTGGAATAGCCATCCATGACCCATTTTCAATGCCCTGGCTGAGGGAAGGAGGTTCTCACCCAAGATTTGACGGTACATGGCCCCGTCCATCGTTCCTTTGATGCGGTTAAGTTGTCCTGTCCCCTTAGCAGAAAAACACCCCCAAAGCATAATGTTTCCACCTCCATGTTTGACGGTGGGGATGGTATTCTTGGGGTCATAGGCAGCATTCCTCCTCCAAACACGGCGAGTTGAGTTGATGCCAAAGAGCTCCATTTTGGTCTCATCTCTGAATGATTCAGTTGTCCTCTGAATCATTCAGATGTTCATTGGCAAACTTCAGACGGGCATGTATATGTGCTTTCTTGAGCAGGGGGACCTTGCGGGCGCTGCAGGATTTCAGTCCTTCATGGCGTAGTGTGTTACCAATTGTTTTCTTGGTGACTATGGTCCCAGCTGCCTTGAGATCATTGACAAGATCCTCTCGTGTAGTTATGGGCTGATTCCTCACCGTTCTCATGATCATTTCAACTCCACGAGGTGAGATCTTGCATGGAGCCTCAGGCCGAGGGAGATTGACAGTTATTTTGTGCTTCTTCCATTTGCGAATAATCGCACCAACTGTTGTCACTTTCTCACCAAGCTGCTTGGCAATGGTCTTGTAGCCAATTCTAGTCTTGTGTAGGTCTACAATTTTGTCCCTGACATCCTTGGAGAGCTCTTTGGTCTTGGCCATGGTAGAGAGTTTGGAATCTGATTGATTGATTGCTTCTGTGGATAGGTGACTTTTATACAGGTAACAAGCTGATCTCAGAGCACTCCCTTTAAGAGTGTGCTCCTAATCTCATCTCGTTACCTGTATAAAAGACACCTGGGAGCCAGAAATCTTTCTGATTGAGAGGGGGTCAAATACTTATTTCCCTCATTAAAATGTAAATCAATTTATTACATTTTTGAAATGTTTTTCTGGATTTTTTAATTGTTATTCTGTCTCTCACTGTTCAAATAAACCTACCATTAAAATTATAGACTGATCATTTCTTTGTCAGTGGGCAAACGTACAAAATCAGCAGGGGATCAAATACTTTTTTCTCTCACTGTATATCTCAGCATGCCATCCCTTCCAACTGTCTGTCTGTATCTGCCGATCTTCAAATAAAACTTCAAGGACTGTGTTAGTAAGTACAGCAGAATCACAACATGTCCAATACTTAGGAGCCATTAACATTAACAAATGCTTCCTTGGAATTGAAATGTCTGCGTATTATGCATTTGTTATGCGATTGGCCCAACGTTCTACGTTTACTGGGTAGTTGGTAAAAACCTAAAGATATAACAAAGTCCTTCTCGTATGCACAGAGGTGTGACAAAATAGGGGCCCCGCAGTGGCGAGGTGTTCACTACCCCGCCTGGTATACAGGAGGTCGTGGGTTCGATCTTAACCCTGATACTTGTTTATTTATGAGTTGGCACGTTCTCCCTGTGGTCACGTGGGCTTTTCTTTGGGTCCTCTGGTTTTTCCCTCCACATTTAGAAAAATGCATTTAGAGTGTTTGGCTGTGATAAATTTACACATAAGCCACTTCGTTAACCTATCGTTTGTGGCCAGGTCGCTTCTAAAGCTCAGTGGGCCTTACCTGGTAAAATAAAAACACTTGAATATTTTAATATTACCGTTACATTGAACTGGCTCGTTTAGTCTTGATTTTTAATTGAAATAACGGTACCTTTTGTTATACATTTACCCATTCCTATGCAAAAATTTGGCCAAAAACATGTTTATGCTGCACATAACACACTGATGCAAGCAAGATGGTGAGTGGCGGTGATCACGAATGGTTGATAAGTTTGAAGAGGTTGAGAACTCAAGGGCCAGACACGCTGCACGTGAAGAGTTCAGCATCATGAAGAGTCATAAAATGCCAAGCATGTTGCGTCTCACCTGTGATTTCTGTCTTCTTGGGCTTCATGAGCTGGCCCATCATGGACAAGATATCCTGGCCACCCTGTTGACATTACATGCACGCATAATTACTGTGTACAACTTGCTTAACCAGAGCTATTAATGTTTTTAGATTTGCATTGCCTTTGTGCTGTTCGCCTTTTGGCGTTCTCTGGTCGAACACTGGTGAGACAAGGCCCATGCATACATAATATGAGCATGTTGGTTTGCATGTTTCACCACAAGTATGTATGGTTAATGGTCACCTGATGCCTTGCAATAAGTGTCTATATGGTGTTTTAACATCTTAATACTTCTATTATTGCCGGAAAAGGTAAAAAAATGGTCCCAGAGACATGACATTCTATATTAAAAAAAGAATTGACAGCGATATGTCAATAAACTGCTGTATAAGGTCTTTCTGTGCAAAGTTGGTCATGGGAATTGTTTTAACATTTCTTCACCACGCTGGTCAGCATGGGTTGGGGGAGAAAGGGGGTGAACAGATCCCCATCTCCCACCCACCCACCCACCTTCTTCATTCATCTAGAAAACTCAAACGTTTGTCAAAAACACTGTGGTCTTAAGAGAAAAAATATATCATAGGCGACATCTCGGGCAATGGCCCTTTTTGAAAGCATGTAGAGAGGCTAGAAAGATAAGCGTTGGAAACTGCACTTTATATTTAGTTTTTTACATTTCTATATAGCATCCTGAGTTGTGATTGCATTTAGATGATATATACATGAGTATATAACAGCGTTCTTCACTAATTTTCAGAGGGAAGACACTTTCGCCCATAAGACAAAACCATTGGGTTTGACAGCACGATGGGGTATGTTCACATTTGTGTATTGTCGGGGCCGCATGTCAGAGGCCCCACTAAAGGCCACCAGTGGTCTGTGGGCCTTGCAATGAAGAACACTGCGATATACATTGAAACTGTTTTTGTTGTATGTATTCCTCTGCTGCTGCATGCTTCTATCCAAAAACATGGGCGTTGTGTGCGCTCGCACGTTCCCATCAGGTGTTGTGACCCCGTGTACATCCGTACCTGCGGGCGTGCGTTAGCCACGTCCAGGTCGTGCAAGGTCACATCCTGGATGACCTCTTTCTTCTTGTGGACGTCGCCTTTGGGCAGCGGCACATACTCCTCGGCCTCCAGGTCGAACTCCGTGGCGAACGTGTCGCAGCGGCCCTGCCTCTGCGCGATCAAAACGTGGGGCGTGAGCAAGCTTCCCCACCCGCCACTCACACAACTGGTTATCCTCTATTTCATTAGTTTAATCGTAAAATTGTATCCCCAATTTCGCTGTGGCAGTCACCTCTCTCTTGTGAATTTTGTAATGGCTCGGTGTTAGCACCGAGCATTTTCCTTCCGACATTGGGAAGCCACTGGAGCAATGCACTTTTTAATCTAAATTGGAAACTAATTTCTTTAGAACTGCTTTTTGTGTTTAGTTTGTTGTTCTCCTCCGCACACCACCAATTAGCATGGTTGACTACATACGGTGCGAAAGAAGTTCAATATACATACATACATAGTGGGCAAACAATGCCCCATGATATTTCAAGTGGAATACCATGTCACACATATTATGGTGATGCCTAAATTGAGTTCATTCAGACTCATGAGAGCTTTTGTAAGGAAGACATACCTGGGTGTCTGTGCACCCAAGCAGCAACCAGGCTGATAGCAGCTTAGCTTCAAGGAGCTGATGAGCTCAAGCTTTGACTTCAGAATGCAGGTCCACGATCCAATGCTGGATGTAAAGAAGACCTGGGTATCTTTCCACCCAAGCCACGACCAAGCCGAGCCTCACTTAACTTCACAGAGCTGATAAACTCAAAACTTTCACGAGAGGCTGTACGTTGGCCTGGGACATACCTTGACAGCTCCACTGTTGGCTTCAATGTAGATAACGTCGCCAACCTCCACCTTCTCTTTCTGCAGGCTCTCATAAATGGACGGGTCCAGCTAAATGCCGACACACACAAGGGATGATCAGCCGTGGTGTTTGCCAAGTCACAATATCACAGCCACTGATGTCCTGTAGCTGCATCTCTTTACATACATTTTTTCTCACAATCAAACGTTATTTATTCCCACTAATGCACATTTGTGACGAGTAAACCATAGCCTATCGAGACAAATGCTGCTTATGTTATACATGTGGCAAACCAGCAACATTTGAGTAACTAATTTTAAAAGTACCATACTGCTGGACATTCACAGGGCGGTACAAGCAACATATAACTACACGTCCAGTCATCTAAGACCGAGTGGCCAATCAGCTAGAGCCAATGACATCACTTAGCTTGCCCCACATTCATGTAAAAAAAAACATCCAGTATCATCCTCATAACTGAGGGTTGATGCCCATGATAGATTCTGTCCACTGAACACACTGGGTCGATCAAATGAATCCCTTCAGTGTTTTATCATCAATGTTACCTTGAGTTGCTTGGTGCCCTTGGCCGTCTTGAGGCTGATGATCACGTGGCTGATGGTTTTGCCGTAGCCACCCATTGGGTTTTCCGTCTCACACGGGCTCAGCTCCATCACCTCCCCCTCGTAGACCTCCTTTGTCTCCTTGATCCTTAACCCTGAGAGGACAGGAAAAGTGCGTACATTAATTGTAATAATTTTTAAAGCAAGGTTTACTTAAAACAGAAATTAATGTGAAAGGTATTAACAAAAATATGGGTCAATTCATTGGGGGGTCATAAGACATCTGGACCGCCCTGCACACGCTACAGTCTCCAGATTTCAAAGTCAATGTGTTTTAAGCAAGCAGAAAGAGGTCCAGGCCACCCGAGTCGCTTAGTTACGGCTCAATAATGCTTAGGGATGCTGCCCAGTGTAGGGGCTTGAGGAATTGTCGTACCAATGGCCCGCCTGAAGTTCTCCATGAGCACCTCTGTCTTCTTGATCTCGGTAGAGTACACTTCGCTGCCCACCATTGGACAGAAGGGCACCTTGCTGCCCAGCTCCTGAGCTATGGCGAGCGCCAGCGCGGTCTGCAAACACCCGGAAACAACAAGGTTGACGATCGTGCAAGATCCATTACGTTTGACGAACCATAGCACTTGTAATTATTTTTACCGCTGCAGTAAGGCGATACTTCTCAAACGTCAGTCTTCGTGAACCGTCACGGTCCGCCCTTACGCATTTGCCAATCTTCCACGTTCATATACTGTACAAATTCGGTATTCACACGCTGTAATGCTCGTGAAGATTAAAAAAAAAACCCACTCATCATTACCTTGCCTGTGCCGGGAGGGCCTGCGAGCAACACGGCTCGTCCTGCCATCTTCTTGCTCCGGATAAGCTCCACAATGATCCCGCATGCCTGCGATAGGGAAGCACAGTTACTGTCAGACTTACTGCAAAGTGTGAAAACGCTCAAACCTACACAAGATCTGCGTCCTCCCACCCCAAATTTTTGCGTCTCATCAGTGGGGGGGGAGGGGGGAGAAAACCTCCACTAAACTTCTCGTCGGTAGGTCGTTCCTTCGTGTGTATGTTGAACTTCTCTCGCATCGCACCGTACGTAGCCAACCGTGGCTAATCGCTGCTCCACAATAGTTGTTTTGAGTTAGATCGCGTAAATATAAATGTGTCGTTAAACCCGCCACCACCCGACATAGCCCATTACTAAAGTTTGTCACGTAAACATAACATGTTTACGTGACAAATTGGTTATGTCGGGTGGTGGCGGGTTTAACGACACATTTATATTTACGCGATTTAACCCCCCCCTATATTATGGATATTGGGCGCGAGAGCCTACGTGTTAAACTAATCGCTGCTGTCCCCGAAATATGGAACTCATTCCACCCAGCAATGCGTGTTGGTCGACTTCCCTGCCCCCGTTCATATCCAAATTAAAGACATCCTTCTTCTCTTCTGCATACTACTATCTCTTCTCGTCCATGAGATATATTGCCCTCTATGAGATGTGCATGTTCTAAGACTATTTTTTGTACTGCGTCTTGGGATGCATCTGCATACATATCGACGCACCATAAAAACCAACGGAATATTTGCAATTCCATTGAGGCAGAAAGAGGAACACGTGAATTATTGAACATACGCAGACGTAAATATTAAATGGCTAAGAATACTGAGCGGGCTTGGCCAGGACACGTAAAGGCGACGACGGTCGAAGATTCAAGACCGAGTGGCAGTCAATGAACGGATCGCGAGGACATTCGATGGGGTGGGGTGGGAGACGATGGAGAGACGGAATCAACTGGTAGCGTGGGCGCCGCGGTGACTATACATCGAAGGGACGCGAGATACGGGCGACTACTTGGCCTTCACCACCTATCCAGCAGTGGACCGACAACCCGACTGACGGCAGACGACTCGCGTGGCCCTCCCTTACCTCCCTCCCCATCTCTTGCCCCACCAGGCCGGCCGCGTTGGCCTTCGCGAAGCCGGCCTCGTCGAGGCCCAGGCCCTTGACGTGGCTGTGGACGGCGATGCGCTGCGTCTTGGTGGTGCTCCGCACCTCCTCGATCTTCATGGCGAATTACGAGAGGGAGAGAGGCAGAGAGACGGAAGGAACCCGCGCCGCCTTCTCGTTCGTTCCCTCACGGCAAAGCAAAGGCAACAAACACGAAAAAGAGAGAAAGAGAACGAGGGAGAGACCCGCGCCACTCTTTCGCGGGATTTTCTTGCTAGCGGTCGCCACGCCTCGCTCGATACCCCACAACGCATAGGCGGCCGCCTCCCGTATGACCGCCCGCCATTGGTCGGTCCGCGAGAGAAAGCTCGCTCCCCATTGGTTGCCACGGCCGCGCGCGCGACCCCGCCGGTAGAAACGGGCCGAAAGTTCCGAAGCCGCACACTCGTTCGTTGTACGAATTGCAAAGTGGGGGGCGGGGGGTGGGGGCTCGCGCGCCTCGTGCCGTCGGCGATACCGACCGCGTGGGTTGCCCGGGATACGCGGCTCAGCCAATGGGAAGGAAGCGACGGTGGGGGAGGAGTAGGAGGGAGGTGACGTCATGACCATGTTGGCCCGTGGTCGCCATCTTCGTAAGGGAAGCAAGCGGTGGGAACTCCCCCGGTTGGGGGTCCCCGTGAGAGCCGCACGGAGCCCCCCCCCAAGGCAGAGAAGATCCCCGGGGGGGGGGGGGGGGGGGTTTGTTGTTGTTGATCTTCCCCGAAGCTCGCGGTCCACCCTGACACCGCATCCGCTGCAGAAACCCCCATTCCCGTCAACCCCATATCAGTTTGACCCCCTTACCGTATTGCGCACCGACTTAGACCTTACTGGTCACCCCGTTGCCCCTTATAAATCTCAACGTTCATCCTACAAAGTCCCATCACAAGGGAGACACACAAACAAATAGACTACTTTTTTGCCTTTATTGGAACGGCTGTACGCCGTATGGACCTCAAAAACGAAATTTCCCTGCACAAGAATGCAGGTAAAACCCTATGGGTTGACAGCTATGGGAACCATGGCATCGTTATCATCATCATCATGATCGGTGTGGTGCAAGATCGTCCCTGTCGATGTCCACCGCACATTTCGTCATTTATTTCCACTGCTAATCGTGAAAGTTGGCAACAGAGAGAAGACCTGATAATTCAGGCAGTGGTGATAAAAGGAAACTGGCACTTTGGACACACGTGTGTGTAGAGAGTGAATCACAGGACAATAGTGTGGTGGTGGTCGACGACAAGAGATGAAGATCTGAGAGAGAACGGCTTGGCATGAGAGATCGGTGCCAGCAAGGTGCACTACAGCTTGAGCACACTGGCACAACACACGGTAAGCCACTTCGTTTAAGAATAGTTGATATTGTGGCCAAGTCGCTTATGAAAAAAAAACTAATAGCTCAGTGGGCCCTATCTGGTAAGACAAGTTTTGTTTTTAATTGAGATATTTTAAGTGATTTATTTACCTTTCCTATACTTTGGACTCGTTTCGTGTCTTTTTTAATTGTTGTAACGTTCTGACCCCGTGCCCTCCCCCCCCCTGTCTGGACATCTGTGGGGAGAAAAAGAGCTTCATAGCTCATCGGATTCCTCGAGGGAAAACCCCCCAAAAATATTGAGATTTCTGGAAACATGACGAACGGTGCAGTGTACACCTAAAGTGGGGCTCGCTCCGCGGATCGTGATGATGTTCATGAAGTGTAAATGTTGTGCGTTTACTCTCCAACACACACCGGATTGTTGCCGTGCTCGTAACGAATCGCTGCGTTCTGTTTACGTGACAAACCCCTCGCTAATTGTCGGGTTTAACGACGCACGTGTCTGTTTGCGAGATCCAACCCAGCACACAACAAACACAACCACCCTCTGGTTACGGATGAAGATGTAAGTCTTGGTGGTGGTGGTGGTGGTGAAGCCCTTAGTAAGATGTCGTCGCCGGCGTCGCGGGCGTCTTTAAAGCGCGCGCGCTGGACCCCCACCCCATTTAATACACAACAGCTGATGCCCAGGCGGGTGCTTGATGCCCGGCTCGGAGTCCCGAATCTCGCCTTTCTCGTCAAATGGCTCGCAAGGCGTTCAACTTCAACGTGGGAGTCCTGGGCCACGTGGACAGCGGCAAGACGTCGCTGGCGCGGGCCCTGAGCAGCACGGCCTCCACGGCCGCCTTCGACAAGAACCCGCAGAGCCGTGAGCGCGGCATCACACTGGACTTGGGATTCTCGGCCTTCGGAGCGCCGCTGCCCGCTCACCTGCGCGATGACCCCAGGGCAGGGGGCTACGAGGCTCTGCAGGTGACCCTGGTCGACTGCCCAGGGCACGCGTCGCTCATCAGGACCATCATAGGAGGTGTGCCTTAGACGAGGCAGCCGCTCGCTGCTCGAAAGCCGCTTCCTGTGTTGCAGTTCACCGGCACGCAGAGTTTACATTTTGCTTAGGGTGGCACGGACAACACGTGTGTGCGTGTATGCGTGTGTGTTTGGGCTCAGATTTATGAATGTGCTTTTGCGATCAAATGTATCGGGGGGGGGGGGGGGGCGGCCCCCCAACGAATGAAGAGACGATGGCTCCACCACGCCACACACTGGACCTGCGACACAGACTCTTGGTGCCCCATTAGGGTCGCTGCTGGCTCATACGATCCCGGTCATTATTAAGAAGATTAAGATCTAAAGTCTCAAAGCCGTCAAGAGATAAGGCGGGGTTGTGTTTTGAATGGTGGGTTTTTTTTGTTGTTGATCTGGGTTTGTGTGCCGAGGTCAGGAGGTCATCCGGATAATTATCGTCAGCAGCAGGAGGGCAGCGTCGTAATTGTGATTAGCAGCTGCAGATGCGTAATTGAGAGACTGCACAATCAAAGCACTGGCTGTAACGGTAGCAAGAGAAGCATGATTATCATCAGCAACAGAACCATCATCGCCGCCAAAGTGCAGGATTACAGGCGTGCGTAGCCCACCGCCATTGCCAGTAGCAGCAGCATTGAGTGATGCACGGTTATTGTATAACAGCCTAATCACTACACTGAGACCTCCTTTGCCAGTAGCAAGATATAGTAATAGGTTTTTACCCTTTTGTCTGGCACAAAAACTGACACCTTTATACAAGGGAACATGTTTGCAATAACCACAACACAAGCAGTCAAAATGCAAACAAAAAGAGACAACTCTGATAATGATATGCACTGTCCTTGAAATTGATTGGTCCACACCCGAGACAGCTTTTCTGGTCCAACACCAGTGGAGACTCGGCTCTAATAAAATCTGTCTCAGGTGTGGACCAATCAATTTCAAGGACAGTGCATATCATTATCAGAGTTGTCTCTTTTTGTTTGCATTTTGACTGCTTGTGTTGTGGTTATTGCAAACATGATCCCTTGTATAAAGGTGTCAGTTTTTGTGCCAGATAAAAGGGTAAAAACCTATTACTATAGCCTAATTACTATCAGCAGCAACATTTAAGGATAACAGGATCAACAACAGCATAATCACGTGGTCATGATCAATGATTGACGTCCGTGCTGGCACAGAGGAACTTTTAGGTACGTTTGCAAATTGCGCAGTTTAATGTGCACTGATTCATTGACCATACTTAATTAAAACTTCAAATCTAGATTGATACTTCATGCTATTCAGTGGGGGGGCGGTGAAAGCTGGGCGCATAGGTGTGACAGCAAAGTTTAGGGTGCTCGAGATGTCTTGCGACCCCAATTTAATTCCCTAAAGCTTAATCTTTAAATAAAAGAACTTAATTTTAAACAGAAAGAAATATGCAAAGCAATAAAAAACATCGGGGTCAATTAATTGGGGGTCACGAGACATCTGGACAATGTATGCATTGTATTGCATTGCTCTCTGTTGACGAGGCAGTGGCCTTAACAGCCATCAATTTCATGCATGGCGGCTCAAAAGCTTGCTGGTGTGGCTCAAACTCAAAAAGCCAACTGAGCTTTTGGGATCTCAACGAGATCGATTGGATGCCCGCGTGATTTGTTCACACTTCAGATTGCGCAATTGCATCCATGTAAAACACCGGATCGCCTGTCTTTCTGTCACCGACCAGCAGGTGTCTCCACACTCCTCTTAAACAACGCAAACGTTGGATAACACTCAAAAGTGTCTTATCGTTGAAGGGCACTTCTCTCTCTCTCTACGAGGCCAGGCTTTTGATCCAGAGGCTGACACAGAGCATTAGCCCAAATCCCATTTCAGTCAACCTTTCAATTCCTCTCACTCAACAGATGAGTGTAATGCACTTCATATTATAGAGTTGAACTCGATTGTTCGGAAGTGTATTGTGACAAAAGGGATTATCCGGACAGGTGCGTTTAAATCTATACCTCTCAATATCACCAAGGTTGTATACAATTGTTAAAGACAATTCACATACATTAAGCGGCTAACTATGCTCACATACTGTACCACATTGTGGAATGGGCACATTGAAATAATTTTGAAATGTATTTCTCTTCATGGCAGTTCAGCTACAGTATTGAAAAGCCCTTCAAATGCACTAGCGTGGCATTTAGTCCTCACAAGAATTCAGGAAGGGGCACTTTAATAGTACTGTACTGTAATTATGACCATTTTACTAAAAGTGGACATCACGTGATAACAACAACTTAATAAAGAATTAAAGCTTTCGTGACTGCATAAATTACTCATTGGTTTTTTTCGGTAAAGTCACGTATGTAGAAATACCATAAAATTATATTAAAATAAATCAATCACGACGTTTCGACCGCCACACAAGCGATCTTCATCAGGTGTAAAAAACAAATAGCGAGGGAACACACAGGGCGACACCAACGCAACACAGAGAGCGCCAAACTGCACGGAGGTAAATACAACAAGAAGATGAGAGATGAGAAGTCAACAAACCTAAGAAAAACAACAACTTGCAGAATTAAACAAGGTCACTGATAAAAACATGTCAACACTTTCGTGAATAATACTGCCCTGCAGAGGAAAACATTGTTTAATGGGCAACATTTTCGGCAATTGCACTCCATAACAGCGATCCATGTGTTGGGTTTTTTTTTATATTTGTGCTTGTGCACTGCCACGAAAGAATTACATTTTTTCGTAAATTGTATTTTTTTTGGTCGTCAACAAGTTTACCATTTAAGTGTAGAAGAGATACATTCAGAAAGGATATAATATAAATATGATATTCGCCGTGCATCAATCTAAACATTTGACCATGGCAGTGAGACAATGACCTGTCTTTGCCTGATCATTATCGTGAGATCTGTTATGTTTATCTTACATCGGCAGACAGCATATGCTCATTACACCAGGAATTGGCAAACGGCAATTCTTGGCGTCAGCACAATGACAGAACAAATGAGCGGCTGGCTGGCTATACAGTGCACCGCATTGTATGTAATTAAACAAAACCAGAGGAACCATCAACTCCGGCTGGCGAGGAAACTACAGAACGTGCCGATGCGGGATCCGTTGGTGGTCGTTGAGCGTGGATTCTCCGGATGCAGGCTCAAGCTCAAGGGCGGCTTAGCAATCTAAAGTGCCATCTCATACCTGCCCAGATAAAGGCTGTGTTTGGCGCGTTTGCTTTGACTGGGCGTGGGGTGTGCAGCCGGCATTTGCGCTGACCTGCGTGGCCCCACGATGGCAGACGAGGCCCCTATGTAAGCTTGGTCACGTCCAAAGACTGGCCGTGTGTCCCCGTGGCGGCACTAATCTCAGGCAGACTCCAGCCAAATTAGATAATGTGTTTGTGGTAGGGGAGAACGTAACCTGCTGTACACATGGAGACGCGCCACGTCATCGTTCTAGCAACATCATCATATTAATATTCGTTGTCATTTTCGATTAATTTTTGAAAATAAGGCTTTTGATATTGTGATGCGACCGGCTCTTGGTTTGAAATTCACATCGCTCCCACATGCCCCCCTGATTGTATCATTCCATCTCTACTTTGGTGGTACCCTTTGCTTGGCTTCTGCCGCTAGTTTTCATCAGATGTCATCACCTTCTTAAGCTCGTGGCACGTATAGGGCATTTTAAAGACGACGGCTTTGAAATCTTTTGCTTTCGTACAATACCGATTTATAATTACACGCACTGTACAGTAATAAAATCCCGCGCTTAAAAATTGTTATAAGTGGACCCACTTGTTTATTTGAACTAGCCGTCTTAAATAAAGTGCATCATTACGCTACTTATCTGGAAAACATCTAATCAGGCTGTCCTTCAAAGGGCTGGTTGTTTTGGTACTTTGGACTGGTCTCCTGGGAACTAAAGGCTGGTGCATGAGTGAGCGGGTATTTTCATTGATGTGCACTACCTGGGAAATGTTTTTGGCGCATGCACGCACACACACACACACTTTCGCGCACGCATGCACTCCTGCCAAGACTGCGGGTGCACTTTTTAACGAGAGGACTCCGAAAATAGTCCAGGCTCTGTAACTTTTTCTTTCAAAATCCAAAAAAACCGCTATCGCTGCAATCTGTTTTATTTTTCAGGAGCCAGCGCTGGGGGGTTGTTTTATGTTTTACACGCAGGTTTTTTTTTGTTTAGGGTTTTTCTGACTCTCCTTCAGCATTTAGGCGCCAGTTTTGCATGGGATTTGAAATACATCGGTTATGTTCACAGACACGGTGGCTCTCTTGATCGTGGACTTGTGCGTTGCAGGTTCCAGTCAACAAAATGCCGCAGTCCAGAAGTCCAAGAGGCTCTTAGATCAAAACACATTTTGTTTGCACGTGATATTATAGCCATCTCGTTTTACCTATAATGCTCTACAATGGTATATCATGAGTTTTTATGCTACATTGCATTTTTTTTCACGGAGCTGAAGATGAAATGCATTTGTGAATAACATATTGCAGCCTAACAGTAAAAAAAAGGCTGACACTGCTAATGAAACCCATAACATTGGAACCGGTATCAGGTTTGCTTGTTTACACATTCTGTGTTAATGGGTCTCAAAGGCCAAAAGACTGATGGGTTAGATGCTATTTTTTTTATGTGGAGACACATAAGGAAGTCTGTTTATTTTATTTGACAGTAACAATATTGCAGGATCATTTTGAAAAGTGCATACCATCTGCCAATTTGTTTAAATAATAAAAGCAGTGCTTTATTTGTACAACATTGTTTGCAATTATGCGTTATTGCGTTTCTCTGTCTTAACTCCATTACATAATGATTGTTCCTGCAATTGTTAAATTGTTCCTTCTGCTTTCCAAAATAACCTAAGGCAATGATTGTTATCGTGGCCATGAGTGATGATGATAGACATGATGATGGTGGCATTTGTGTTATGCAAATGATGAAGGTGTTGATGACAACGATGGTGGTCGTTTTGATTTATAATGATATGATGAACACGACAATTGTTAGTAATCATGATGACATTAGTGCTGATGATCATGATTTTGGTGATAAGCATGATGATCATGGTGGTGTTATTTGTAACAATCAGTGCTTACGATCGTAATGATGATGCTCCTCTTGATATTGACTATGATGATGATGAAGCGACGAAAAAAGGTGCTCACATATGTGTCTCCCCACAGGAGCACAGATTATCGACCTGATGATGCTGGTTATCGACGTGACCAAGGGCATGCAGACGCAGTCGGCCGAGTGTCTGCTTATTGGAGAGATCACCTGCCCCCGCATGATGGTCGTGCTCAACAAGACGGACATGCTGCCCGAAGCCAAGCGCGCCACGCTCATCGAGAAGATGACCAAGAAGATGCACAAGACCCTGGAGAACACCAGGTACCACCGTGTGATAGGGGAGTGCACATGCTGGTCGTGGTATTTGCAAAGGTGACGTCAGTTGTGGTCTGCTCAGCGTGGACTTGAACAAGGGTAAGGAGTCGACATCACTTATTGCTGAGTGTCCCAGACTATGTGGGTAAAGTAGGACCTTTACGAATGCTCTACAATGTATCCCCCATGTACAGGTTGATCACAGTCACTGTTTAAACAAATATGCTATGCATGTCGCTCCCTGAAGTTTCTTTGTGCCATAATATGGTATATATTTTCTTTGTTTGTTACAAATTAAATGCTAAACTATGCATGTGTACATTTATATCTTTATATTATATATCTTTACACACCATTGTATATGTCATCCTTCATATTTACCACTGCCATTGGCCAAATGTGACAAATAATTTTTCAGCAGTGAACAATGTGGATCACATTAGGTGCAGTAGCTAGGCTTGCCTGGTGCAGTGACACACAGCTCCTGTCTGCCGGCCGAGATGCCCTTGAAAGAGAGCTGTATAGCTCAGTGGGCTTTAAACTAAACTATAAACTATTTTTTATTTTACCAGCTAAGGCCCACTGAGCTATGTAGCTCTATTTCAGAAGCGATCTGGCCACAAATAATAGCCCAACGAAGTGGCTTATCATGTGGAACATGCAAACTCTAAATATACAGGTGTTGGGGTCGGGATCCAACCCACCACCTCCCGTATACCAGGCGAAGGAGTTAGCATCTTGCCACCATGGTGCTCTTGTGGGGCTTGCTTCGCTTGGGGAAATAAACTTCTTCACGTCTGATGGACTGCATGTGGTCTGCGCAGGTTTAAAGGGGCTCCTATAATCTCGGTGGCAGCAAAACCGGGCGGCCCGGATGCACCCGAGGCCCAGGAGGCAGAGGGCATCGCAGGACTCATTGAGGTGAGCCCCCTGGAGGCCACTAGACGTGTAACTGTGCAGCGATTCATCGATTTGTATCAAACCTGTCGCTGGTTTCAGCCCGGGGTGAGTCATTCGCGTACCCGGAGGTTGTGCAGTCGCGTGACTTTGCACAGTCACAGCGTTGTCGTGCCGTCGTGCCGCGGCGATCGCACACACGCACAGACGCCCTCCGTGCTGCTTTGACCCCAGCCGTCCCGACTTATCGCTCCGTGTGGGCATGGGCGCTTGGCGCTGCAGGCGCGAGCAGTGATTAACGCCGGTGAATAATGACGGCCGATAGTGACACACGATGAATGCTTGCTAGCGCGAGACGAATGAGGCTTTCTGGGGAACAGTGAATGATTCACGTTGATGAATGGTCGATGAATCACCGATAAATAATGACTGTGTAAGGGTACATGCTAATTTGCATGTTATACGGTTGTAGGTAATTGTGAGAGTTTTGGAAATGTCACAATAAGGGGGATTTGAGGACCAGTGGAGTGGTTAACGCATTGTACTTTATACCCTAGGAACTGGAGCTCGATTCCCAGCCATGGTGGCGAGTTATATCTTTAACCGTGTTAGCTACAGCCCCACTGCTTTACCAACCCTCATTGATAAATGTAGGTAAATACGGTAAAAATTACCAGCATTGCATTGGGAAGCCTTTATCTTTCAATGAATTGGCAGAGGGCTGTAAATGATCATAAAAAGAAGGAACCTTTACAAAATAGAATATTTGTAGAATTTGTCATGTGGGTAAAAAAACGAACATGACTATAACATGGATGAGACACTGATGCTTCTTACTTATTGAGTCTGCTGTTACCTTTCAATGAGTCATCACCCCTTACCTGCTTCTGTCGATGTCAGTTGCTTCTGTCTCAGACGTACTTGCCCCAGAGGGACCCTGCAGGACCACTGCTCATGGCCGTGGACCACTGCTTTTGCATCAGAGGCCAGGGCACGGTGATGACTGGCACCGTGCTCTCAGGCAGCGTGTCTGTCAATGACACTGTGGAGATCCCTGCTCTCAAGGTGTGTATGTGTGTGCGCCAGGTTGGTGGAAGTGCTAATAAGTTGAGTTTATTACATAGCTATTCACGGTTGCGCTGCATATCTCTCGAATGTGCTTTTGGGTTGAACCACGTGTTGCCTGGCACGATGTCCTCCGATGTTTCACTTTCCAAAGAAGTGAAAACGGTTGGCTACGCACGGTGCAAAAGAAGTTCAACATGCATACGTCAGACATCGTGCCCAACAACACGCGGCATAACCGGAAAACACATGTAGAGCTATAAGTAAGCCTGGCTCTGCTGATGAGACACTGTATGTCAAAACCGGTTCCAGAGTTTTCTTGCATTTGAATCACTGCTGCTGAAAATATGCACTCCTAGAAAGATTGCGGCTGATGATTTGTGTAAGAAATACTTTAATGTTTTACGTGGACAGACGAATATGTGAAGTAGACATTGGTTATTTATTTTGTTATAAGGTACGGTCGTTTTGACTTGTCTTGATGGTTGTAGGTCTTGCCATCATAACCAGTAGGTGGAGCACTAGACCATGAACATAGAAAAATATTAACAATTGTAAAACATGTTGATGTGAACTGCATTTTACACCAGGGATGGGCGGCTCTGAGATGTTGGCTGACAACCGCCAAAGCAGAAGGAGCCTCATTGTGACCAAATCATATGTTAAGCTGAATGTTGTTAAATACTGCAAAAGATAGTGAAACTACTAATTACGAGAATAGGGTTTTCCCTGTTTTTCTGGCAACAAAAGAGGTGTTAAGATGTTAAAACACCAAACTGAAACCTTTTACAAGGAATCATGTCTGCACTACTAATTACGTTTTAAATTGGAATATTGCGAGAACATTTCTTTTCGAGTTGTGCACCATATATGAATTTGTACCTTGAGCCAAATCACCCAGAATGCGCCTGAGCTCGCCAGATGCCACAAGTTAAGCAGGATTTTGGGTCTGGTCAATTCTTGCATAGATGACCACCTTGCATAAGTAGGTGTTATAGACTCAGAATATATATTGATACATTGTTATTAGGGCCCCATGTTTATGCCGCCCACTTCATCAACCCACACTGACCAGCGCGGTTAAGTATGGTCAAATAACCCCCATGACCTGCACGCCCGTCGGGGGAGGCCCCCGTTCAGCAGTGGATTGACACGGGGGATTTGTACGCTTACTCGTACATGTCCATACGAGTATGTGTCCAAATTGAGCGATGCGCCCGACGACGCGCTCGTGCGACCTTTGCGATTGCTTTATCCACATTGGTTGTTTCTGACCAGCTGACATACGAGGGGAGTGTTTGTCCTCCCAATTGCCACAGGTTACCAAGAAGGTGAAATCGATGCAGATGTTCCGCAAGCCGGTGAGTGCGCACATTCACTCGGGCACAAAGCTAAAACATAACTGCTCTTTGCTTATTTTACCAGGTAGGGTCCACAGAGCTAAATATATATTTTTCAGAATGTATGTATGTTGAATTTTTTTTCGCACAATATGTAGCCGACCGCGCTAAATGGAGGCACGACCTTGCCACAAATAGTTTTAATGACAAGTGGCTTATCATGGTGGAAATTTTTTCGCAGCCAAATACTCTGAATGCACGTTGATTCTAAATGTGGAGGGAAAAACCAGGAGGACCCGGAGGAAAATCCAGAGCAGAGAAAGACACGCAGACTCCAAATATACAGGCGTCAGGGGTCGGAACCGAACCCACGACATTCTGTATACAAGGCGAGGTAGTTAACATCTCGCCACCGTGGCGCCACAACGAGAGACGGCGGTGTTATTTTAAAGCTGTGAATAAAGCGGAGAGCCCCCGTCTCGTGAGACCGTCCCTTGCCAACAGGCAGCGTTCATTCCCGGCCGCTGGCGCACGTAGTCCATTGTGCTCTTGAACAGGAACATTTGGGGGCACTCGTTAAATGAAGAGAAACCCCTCCCCCCCCCCCCAACACCAAATTTACCTCGCGCAAATTGAAGCGGTCGAAGTGTCGTAAATAAAATTTTGATTTAAAGCTTTCGTGACTGCAGTAATTCATATTCTTAGCTCTTTCGGTAAAGTCACGTTGAAGGGAAACAATAAAATATATATAAAACAATAAAAATTCTCACGACGTTTCGACCATAACACAAACGGTCGTCATCATCACGTGACTTTACCGAAAGAGCTAAGAATATGTCGTAAAATAATTTACTAAGGTTGCTGTTAAATCCTTTGATTGCTTGATACAGCGCTGTTTGAGTAAATATCCTTCCAAGCCTGTAGAGAAGGGGCACAGCCACAGTGGGTGTCCGGACACCTTCCAGAAGTTTATAAATGGCTAAGAGAACCCTTGGTCAGCAAAGGCAAAGATCCCCCATATAGCCTTAAAAGACTGTTGGGGCAAGTGCTGTTAGTGAGTAGTACCTATGAAGGCCAACATGGCACACGAGCGGGTCGGTAGCCAATATGACGCCCGGCCGCCTTTGTCTCCCCCAGTGGCGATGTTTACACACCGCACCAGGTGCACTTTGAGGTTGAGTCGACCTAGGGGAAGCCCAGGACCGATTTAAATATTCGTCACTGGTGTTGGCCGTGAGCAGCAATCGAACCCGGGTTGCTGGGTTTGAAGTGCAGTGCGTTGCCCGCTGCACTACCGTTCCCCCCAGCACACACACACACAGTCAACACATGTACATATTCATCCACTCAGTACACATTCACTTAGAACACACAACACGCACACACACACACACATTGATATAGTGAACACACACAGCACACACATATTCATGGGCAGAGCACACACACACAGTCGGCATTCACACGATCATCACACACACACACATGGTCAGCACGCATATTCAAGCAGCACACGCGTGCAAGTGGGAGACCCCCGACTTTCAACGCGTTGCTGCACCTCCGCCGCATAGTTAGACGTTAGAATAAAATCCAGCTGTGTGGTACAGCGGTTAGAGCCTGCCGTTTGCAATCGGAAGGCTACGAGTTCAAATTCTGGTGGAGCGGGTGGGGGGGTGGGGTTAAGTCAGGCCGTCGACTGTGCTGGGTTGATAAAACGAGTAACACTTTGTGGGACGTTCAAAGTGATGGTCTTATATGGACAGACTTGCCCCCCTTCTATAGGAATGTGGACTTTCCACCGCTGGCTCAGTGCTTTGAACTAGAGGTGGGCGACTGCCCTGTGCTCACTTGAGTGGGGGAACCACTGTGGCTTTCGATTTATTTTGCGATTCAACACCGAGCATGGGATCCCTAAGCACAGAGTCAGCCTAAACAGTGACAACAACAAAAACTAGAAACTAAATTGCATTACACTCTGCTGGAGTTGGCTCACTCGTTCTCTCATACATTCACAAATTCATTCACACATTCTCTTATTTATTTATACATTCACTCACTATTTTGGTCATACATTCATTCATGAAGTCACCGATTCGCTTATTAACAACATTCTCCCATTCACTCGTACATTCATTCACTCATTCGCTCACTATTTTGCTCATACATTCACTCATTAAGTCACAAATTAACTCATACATTTGCTCAACCATTCACTCCCTCATTCGCCCATACATTCATCTCTTCATTCGCCTGTTGATCTGCTGATCCATCCGTGGGCCCAGGTGATGTCTGCCTGCAGGCGTGCATTCACTCACATATTCATTAGGTAATTCACTCATTCATTCATATGCATCCACTCATTCACTGTCAGTCCATCTGCCAGCCCATGTGACCTCAGGTGCAGGGCGAACGTGTGTGGCTCATTCCATCACTCGCGTAGCTTATTCACTCACTCGCTCACTCCCTCATTCGCCCGTACATTCACTCTCTCATCGTTCGCACAACTCACCCACCCGTCCGTTCGCTCCCCACTGAATCCACCGGCCCGTCCGCTGGCCCTCAGGTGACGTCGGCGGCGCAGGGCGACCGCGTCGGTCTCTGCGTGACGCAGTTCGACCCCAAACTGCTGGAGCGTGGGCTCGTGTGCTCGCCGGGCTCGCTGCTGTCGCTGCGCTCCGGCATCGCCTCCGTGCGCCGCGTGCCCTATTTCCGTGGCGCCGTGAGCACGCGCGCCAAGTTTCACGTCACCATCGGCCACGAGACTGTGCTCGCCCGGGTCTCCTTCTTCGGAGCTGGCGGTGGGGCCGGCGACGACGGCGGCGGTGACGACGCCGCTTTCGACTTTTCGCGAGACTACGCGTACCAGGACCAGTTCCTGGCGGAGCAGCCCAAGGACCGCGCCGAGCAGGTGACTGCCGGGATGACCCTTCCGTGTGTTTGTGGACATTTGCCGCGGGCCGATGTGAACCTGCCCTCACCCCATGAAATAATAAGAGTAACAGTCATTGCCATGTCGTTTATTTGTCCAGGAAACTAAAACTACCAACGAAATAATGTTTACTTTACCAGGTAAAGCCCACACAGCTATAGAGCTCTTTTTCAAAAGCGACTGGCCACAAATGATAGCTGAACGAAGTGGCCTGTCACAATTTACAGCAGCCAAATACTCTAAGCACATGTTTCTAATTGTGGAGGGAATAACCGGAGGACCCGGAGAAAAATGCACGCGACTACGGGGAGAACATGCAAGCTCCAAATATACAGGCGTCAGGGTCGGGATTGAACCCATGACCTCCTGTATACCAGGCGAGGGAGTTAACATCTTGTCACTGTGGCGCCCACTTAAGCATGCCATGTCCAGTGCATCTTGACTATGCCATGCCTAGTGCAGTTGTTAATGCACAAATGGAGCTGCCTTCATGCCCTCCTTTCCTGATGACTGATGGTGGGATATATTGGCGTGACTTGGCATGCCCCGGTGTGCTTTGTCGTTACTGCGGTGTGCTCCGGTGTGCTGTGGCATCACTGCGGTGTGCTCCGGTGTGCTGTGGTGTTACTGCGGTGTGATCCGGTGTGTTGTGGCAGGCTGATGAGCGGACCACATCCGCCGCCAATCCTGTACCGCAGCACCAATGGGCTCTGCTGGAGTTTGAGCGCCCGGTCACCTGTCCACGGCCCTGCAAGGTGAGCGAGCGAATCAGAATATTTATTTATACTGGAGGAATTATATTCTATGAGCTATAAAGCTACTTTCCATAGGTGTCCTCCTGGACACCTATCAGAGCCCCATATTTATACTTCATTTCACGATAGTGCAGTTGGAATAAAAAAAAAAATACCCTAATTGGTGGTGGGACTCTTTAGAGCCAATCTGTCACAGGGCAATACGCGGCGCGCCGCACACGTTTAAGGACGCTGGCGAAACGCGCGCTCTCCTTGCACACAGGTGATCGCGTCCCGCCTGGACGCAGACATCCACGCCAACAGCTGCCGCCTGGCGTTCCACGGCACGCTGCTGGAGGGCTTCGAGGAGAAGGGCTACAGCGACGCCAGCCTGGCGCACCTCCGCGTCTACAAGACCAAGAGCAAGGAGGGTACCGTGGAGAGGGTGAGCAGTCAGGACAAGTCTTAACGACGGCAGTAGTAGTCGTAGTAGTCATCAGTGGCTGTCGATCATCACCATCATCATCACGATCCACGGACAGATAGCCGGGTAGGTGTCCACTGCACATTTCGTTATTTGTTTCCACTTTCCTCTGTCTTGTGCCAATATGCTCAAGTAGTGCAACATCTTTCTGGCACCGATCGTCGTCAAGCCATTCTCAAGCCATTCTCTGTGAGGTCTTCCTCTCTTTCCAGTTCCTTACACTCCTCTGAACAACAACAACAACACACTTTTAACTTTGCTGTTTTTGTCCATACAACGTGTCTCCAAATAGTGCCAGTTTCCTTCTCATCACTGCTTGCATCAGATCTTCTACGTGCAACCTTTATTGCTCGTACATTGGTCACTCTTTGGGTCCAGCTTAGGCGTTGATGTGTATGTATGTATATTGAGCTTCTTTTGTACCTTACTTAACCAACCGTGATAATTGGAGGTGCGGGGAAGGCCAGCAAATTAAACACAGAAAGCAGTTCTAAAGAAATTAGTTTTCAATCTTGATATATATAGTGTGTAGGCGGTGCAACTGCACCGGCATCCGCAGGCCAGATGTGCCGAGGATCTGGGCTACGGAAGAGAGAATAGGGAGCCCTGAATCGGGGTTCATGCCAACCACACTTCATCCCTGGGAGTAATAATAATCATCATCATTTACAATCCATTGTTAGTCCACTGTCGGGCGAAGGCCGCCCCATGCTATGTCGGTTATGGGGGTTATTTGACTGCACCTCACCACACGGGTCAATGCGGGCTGGTAAAGGGATTGCCGAGAACCAGTTAAGATATCGCTCAGCACCGATGCCAGCCATAGGCAGAAATCAAACCGACGTGTATATACGGGTGCGTGTTTGTGCATTGTATATGTGTGGAGCTGTGGCGGCAGTGGTTAGCGCACTGCGCGACGCACCCGGCCACCAGAGTTCGATGGGCGCTCGCAGCCGAACATCGGTGACGAGTGAATATTTTAACTGGTCTTGGGCCTCTCCTGGGTATGCTTTGCATAAAACATAAGCGCTGGGGAGACAAAGGCGGTCGGGCGCGGCGTTGGCCACACCACCACCTCATGTGGGAGGTCTTCATCGGTGCACGCTTGGCCCGATAGCCTGTGAACACCACTTGCCCCGATAGTCTGTAAGCGGCTATATGGGGGATCATTGTGTTGTTGTATAGACATCCTTCTGTGTTTTATGTGCAAATTTGTGAGTTTTTGTGTGTGTGTCTTTGTATTGTATGGGGAGTGGTGGCGCAACGGCGAGTGTACCACGCTCGGAACCGTGCGACCTGAGTTCTGTTCTCGGCCACGGTTAGCGTGAATGGCAAGGGATGTCTGAACCGGTCTTGGGGCCTCCTTCTTCAACCCGCATTGACCAGCGTGGTTAAGCCAGGCCATACAAACCCCCCCCCCCCCCCCCGTGACTGACACGGCGTAGGGGGTTGTGCCTTGTGTCAGCGAATGCTGCTGTAGGACCAGCATGAATGGCACTGATTCTATGTTTAACAGATACGTTAGACTGCATTCTGTCTGCGAGCCAGTGAACCAGCCTTTGCGGTGCACTGAAATACTTGTGGATATTGACTGTTCGCATATTTTCGAGTGCCTCGCATTGTACGTCAGCACTCGAATTTATTGTGCCGCTTTGCGGTGTCGCGTCTTGCTCACTCCGCTTATTAAAACGCACGCACACACACAGGCATTGGCGCACACACACACACATGCAGGCACACTCGCACACTTGCGCAGACTTGCTGGCAGAGGGTACACATTATATATCCGGAAATTGGTGTAATTGGATTTTTGTGGGCTGTTTTCCTTTCATGATCATCCATGCCTGAATATGGATTCAAATATTTTATCAGGTTACCGCCGGTTCACCGAGAGAGTAAAGGACTCTGTGTACCATATGGGCTGAAGCGGTGTTCTTGAGTCGTTGTACCCTTGCACGTCAAGTCAAGACCAGGTTTTTTTTTTCGATTGATCGCAGTGTAAAGTTTTGATTCGGTGCTTTTTTTTTTAAACACAGGTGGCAATGCGCCGCTCGGCTTTGCGTAGACACCAAACGCACAAAAGTTAAAAAAAGTAAACTGCGCACTTAACTGCCTTTAATAATTTTCAAATACAATGAACTGTATTTTTTTCACTGTATTTATTTCCCCCCCCCCCCGTCGTCTCTCTTTCTGCGCGACGGTATGACAGCACGGCACAATAGCCAAACACGCGCGCGGGCCCACGACGATCGGGGATGTTTATCCGGTCTGCGGCCGCTCCTGAGTTCCGTCACGCGAACACGCTCGCCCTTTTCGCTGGCGCCTTGTGCGCGCTGCCCTTTTGTTTTTATGCCGTGGCATTTTTTTTAGGGCTTTTGCCGCTGCGTCTTCTTTTCTTTTAATTTTTTTTTGTTTTGCGTCGGCGGAATGCACGGGCATTGGCGCCACCCGTCCTGCCGCCGCCTCTATAACGCCCGCCGCCAGCACCCGCCACGAGCCATGGCTCACGTCCCCAAGTATCTAAACATTTATCCTTTAAATGGTTTTTATCTTGTGTACATTTTTGTTCCGAACGTACGCGTGTCGTTTTATCTATTTATTTCCCCCCTCCCCCCAGCACCCCCGCCCACGATCGCGGGGCGCGTGTCTGCCCATCCACGCTGAGTGGCGTCATTGTGGATTTTTTCTTTATCGAGATTGTATGTTTAGCCCAACATGCGACGTCCCGGAATAAAAACGGGTGTTAGGGCACTGCCACGGTCGGTCGGTCGCTGGGTGCGGCCTAGGGATTTTCGCGATGGAAATCCAGCGGTCGTGACCTGAAGACGAATGCTTGAGCCCGAAGAAAAATAAATGGTAATGATAAAAATAAATCTCCCTCTCTCCGTCTGTCCTTTCTTGGACATGATACGTTTTTTTAAGCAGCTCGCTATAACTTTAGCCCAGTGATAAGTTAGGAACCGAATGGAAATGACGAAAAGAAAACATTCCACTTGTGTGTTCGAGATCGCTCTCTGCCTACATCGGTAAAAAACATTACTGCGACTGCAATGCAAACTGCAAGTGGGAGATTAAGTGATGGCTTATTATTATGGTTTAATACGGGTCTTTTCGAGGCCAGATTTGAACATACTGTGAATGCTTTGGAGGCGATTTGTCACGTTCGATTTAATCAACCCTGAAATATTTTCTATTAACACATCCTGGCTTGCAGGGCTGGGTTATGAGAATATGTTTTAGGCTGAAATGTAACGTTTTTTAGGTGTAGCACAGAACCTGTCTGAAAAGAACCGCTCAAATATTTGTCAAACTACATTCGGACACATGCAGCCTTGCCCCCACATAGATGTGTAAATAACGTTAACTGCCTCTTTATCACGGCACAGAACTGTAACCAGATATAGCCATACTTAGCGGCTTGAAAAAGCACTAATTTAAGCCTCCAAAATTATCCAGAGCCATATAAATAACCTCCCGGGCATTACGAAGGGACCATTTGACAGTATATTTTACGGCCCAAACGTTATCTGCCCATTTGATCCCTTCATTTAGTTAGCAATTTCTTGGTTTGCACAGCAAAACCCTACATTATCCCTTAAGCCCAGGCATAATATTGTTTGGGAAAGGGTCCCACGTTCTAATGAATGAGTACAGTGGCCTTGCCCTGGCTGACCTGTGGCCATTGGCACCTAGAGGATATGTATTTGTCACTGGCACGTAACGAGGGCAAATTAAAATGCCTTCGTGCTCGAGAGGGGAAAAAAAAATAAAAAAACCTCCTAAAAACCCGAGCCCTCAACAGCGAACAGGGCCCGGCGGCCTTGCGCGCATACCGCAGTAATCCGCTATTTGGATTGGCGAACGGGGGTCCCTTCTTTCAGCCAGCTCCAACGGGGTGGCTTTAGGCCTCCGATCCCATTTGTCTGCGGAGCAGTAATGTGGGGCCCCGAAGCCCATTGGACCCCGAGAGGTCAGTCAGTGGCGGTTGCCGATTGGCCGAGCGGTGCCCAATGACGGGGACCCCCGAAAAGCACAAAAAGACTTTGGCCGAGAGAAAAAAAAACACCGGCGAGGGCCGTGACGAAATCTGTCGAAAGGAGTCTTGAAACTAAAATCGAGCGGCGATGTTGTGCAGCGAGTAGAATTGGAAAGGTGTTTTTCAGGGCATCGTTGTTGTCATCATTAGGATCGTGGTGACCGTTATTATTGTCACCATTATCACGTGAAGTTTGCAACAAAGGTCGCGGAATGCAACCTACAAAAAACATTTTCGGATGAATATGCTTTGAATCAGGGATGTGGCTACAAACAAAAAATAATGCACCGAGTTTTGAAACCACTGGGAGTGGTTAAGCAAAACTTTTGAACATTATAAGCTAATTTAAACAGAGGCAATCCAAACTTGGGTATAAATATTTAACTGTGTATATATAGTACACGTTTATATGACATACTATTTGTATATTGGTGTAGAAACTGGAGTGGGCTATAATTGAAAAGGCTGTCCACATTCGTGAATAACGCTGCCATTTAACAAAAAGTATGTTCGTGGTTGATATGATGAGTGTTTTTTTATTTTTGGATGTGCGCGAATTCCACCATCGTCCCTTATTTTTATTTATTTTATACACACTGGTTTGAACATAAGTTCGTGACTGAGAGTTTAACGTAAATTAAATTTGCTATTGCGGCGTGCACAAAGAATGTCACTCTCGTATGGCATTGCTCAGACAGCATGTACGTGTCTTTGTCTGTGTAATGTGTAAGGATATATTTCATTGACAGGTTAACACATTTGTTTTGTAAACTTAATAAATAAAATACGCTTCATGGTTTAGAAAACTGCGCCTTAAATTTCAGGCCCGAACAGCGCGTTATTGTCCAAAAATTACATACTTGTGGCTGTGAGCAATTTATTTCAGCTTTTTTTTTCCGCCCACATATCTCACCAAAATTTAAACAACGTGCAAACACGAGGCCATAATTGAACCTACTAATACTTCGACCGTGCTCCGCATTAACGTGGGATTTAAACATCATGCAAAATAAACAGGGGGAAATGTGGACGAAAACAGCCCAAGTGACACATTAGTGTTTTGTCTGGCCTTTTTTTTTTTCCACCCCCGACGTTTCAAACTGCACAGGCAGCCCCGTCTGTGAAGTTTCGTAGCCTATGTGGGCAAGGTCGGCAGAACCCCCGCTCTATGTCTGCGCTAAATTCCGCTATTCATAACCGGCCAATCGCTCGTGCCTCCGGGTGCCGTGAACTTGCGTTAACCCCCCCAGACATGCAGTTCTTTCACACAGGAACTCAAATTAAAAAAAAAACTCCGCTCCTTCAAACGGACACTGATTGCCTAAGCTTTCGCGCTGCCAACTTTGCGCGGCCAGCGTCAGAAAATGGAAGGGGTGGTGGTGGTGGTGGGGGGGGGGGTAGAAAAATGTTTGAAAATTGCTGCACTTTCATCTACAAAACCCACGGGGGGAAAGGGGCAGTCGGGGGCGGGGGTAGTGGGGAGTTGCCGTGCGCTGGGACGACAAGTCAAAACTAATGTTTTGAAAACCCCGGGTTTGCTTTATTGATGGAACCCCCCCCCCCTTTCTCCAGGCCCGCCGGCAGACTTCTTAGGGGACAATATTTTCGAACCTCTCATTAATCATCCCGTGCTCTGCTGTTTGTAAGCCGCGCTTAAGGTTAATTTTTCCGCAATTTTGCCCGCAATTTTCCTGACAGTTTTTTAATTGTCTCTATGTGCGGTAGAGCCCTGGATAGCTTCATTCTGAACGTGGTGGCGTGCGCGCGCACGCAGCTGAGGAGGGGTGGGGGACGTCGCTGTGTTGGAATTTTTATGAAACTCGAGGCGCTGTGGTTTTTTTTATGGCCGCTGATTTTTTTCTGTTTAACACCTACGCCCGTTTTGATGAGCATGACGCCCGCCAGTTTGTGCGAGTAAATTCAAGCAGGGCCACGAGCATGCTGCGTATACCACTTTGCGTGTCACCACTTTATGGCGTGGTTCAATCCAGATTTGCCTACCCCCAAAACGTGTGCGGCTTTGCCACCTGCTATGCGGTTGATTTTGCGCACGGTGATATGTGTCTGGTTTAGCGCTGCTGTACGTCACCAATTCCTTATAATTATGCAGTGGTCATCCGAACACGTGGGTCTAATAGCACCTTAAGTAGAAGGCCAGGATAGTTGGAGGAAGTCTCTTCTTTGGTATGGCAGAACGACAACGGCATTTAAGGTGGTCAAGCCAGATAGCCGCGTTAGGAGCCGCAGAGTACATCGCTATGATGTTTCCTTCGTATTGGTGGATCGGGCATTGCGACGTTAAACTGTTTATGGTTTGTTCTGGATGACCACAGTCGCACACTGGAGAGTTTTTAATTTTCCATTTGAGTATCAGGTATCCGCATCTGCTGCTATGGTTTGTATAGATGTGGTTTTAGGGTGGACCACGATCTTTGTGTAAGATCAAACCCAAGGATCTTCTGTGTTGGGTCTTTCACAAGGTGTTTGCGAGTTATTTTGATAAATGTCAGGCACATAGCAATTAATCAATTAACATTCTTACGCTTATGATATACATACTTCAGAATGTGTGCGTATCAATCAATTGTTAAGGATTTAAGTCTACATCATGGAATGAGTGACACAAAACTGAAACGACAAACAAAATGGGAGAGATTCTACAGACGGAACAGACACAACAGACAGAACGTACATGACAGTGCAAACGAGATGTATACGATACAAAAATGTAGACGTTCAGAAGTTTTACTTCCCGAGTAAAGAAGCCCATTGGGCTATACAGCTCTATAAAAAAGGGTCACTCGGCCAGCAAAGACAAATAACGGCAACAGGCTGCGTCAAACATTGCAGATGAATCGATAACTGTCATTGAATAGCGGCGGTGGTATAGCGGTGGCGAATCGCGACAATTCACCAACGCTTGTGTTAGCGGGGGTGGGGGGCGGTGGGTGAAATTGTCTTAGCGTGTGGGGTACGCGACTGCAAGAGTGCCGCGAGTGACGGGATCAGGCGCGCTGAACAGGAAACAAACCGAGGCCCGCCAGAGGAGACGGAGAGGGGGCTCCTGCACACTCTCAAACCTCGCGTGCATGGGAACACCTGCAGTCTCTGGGAAAGTTGTTTGGCTCGCGGGCTCGAGGCCGTGGGATTGCGGGGGCAAGCGGAGTGCCGGTGAAGCTCGAGTCTTCACCATGAGCAGGCGTGAGGCTGCGATTGGGACGGATGTGTTGTGAGCGCAATTTGTGGGACTGTGTGCGAGTGTGCGTAGAACACTCGCACACAGTCTCGGAAGTGTAGCGGTTAACGTGCTACGCTGCGCTGCAAACCCGGTGACCCAGGTTCGATTCCCGCTCATGGCCAACACCAGTGACGATTATCTGAACCAGTTCTGGGCCTCCCCTAAGTCGACTCGGCCTCAAATGATTACCTGGTGTGATGTGTAAACAGCGCCACTGTGGAGATAAAGGCAGCCAGGCATGTTGCTGGCCACCCACCCCCTCGTGTGCCACGCGGGCCTTCATAGGTGCTCGCTAACAGCACTTGCCCCAAAAGCCTGTTAAGGTTACAGGGAGGATCTTTGTGTTTGACATTTGTAAAAGTGCGTTTGCAATGTGCCCCTGTAAAAGCACCATTTTGTATATTCTCATGTGCACCTCAATGTAAAATTCGTTATTAATAGTCATAATTTACAGCCCTTTGTAAAGTCAGTGAAGGATGAAGGCTACTCCATGTGGTGTCAGTCATGTGGTGGTTTCACCATACTTAGCCACACTAAATTTTTATTTAAAGCTTTCGTGACTGCAGTGATTCATATTCTTGGTTCTTTCGGTAAAGTCACATTGAAGGGAAACAATAAAATATATATAAAACAATAAAGTTCTCACGACGTTTCGACTGCAACACAAGCAGTTATCATCAGGTGTGAAAACCAACGGCAAGAACATTTGATGATGACTGCTTGTGTTGCAGTCGAAACGTCGTGAGAATTTTATTGTTTTATATATATTTTATTGTTTCCCTTCAACGTGACTTTACCGAAAGAACCAAGAACATTAGCCACACTAGTCAGTCCGGGTTGTTGACATCGGAAGTGTCCCACTACTGGTTCAGGTATCACTTACCACTGACTTTAGCAAAGGCTGGCAATCAAACTCGATTGCTCGGTTCATAGTAGAGTGTGCTAACCACTGCGGTGATTGGAAAGTCCACGGTCTGAGATATAATGATTGGTGCTATAACCAATAGTAACTTTTAAGCTCATAATATATATTTTTAAAGAATTGGCACATTTCATAGCGGTCGATTAACTCTCGCTTGCCATTCACCAACTCGAACTGACCAAAGTGGTTCTATTATAGTCTTGGTGGCAATATCCTAAGGCGCTAAATGCCAATGTCGAGGTGCGATATTGGCGAGAGGATTTCGGGAGAGAGAGAGTTCGTGTGGTTTTGCGTCTCCTCCTCCATTGATGGTGGCGCAGACCATAGTGTGGTTTATGGTACAGTCCGAAGTTTGGGTTGCATGACCACAATCCCGCACTGTGGCTTGTCTTACATTTTTTTGGCATTTTCATGAAGGAGATGTTGTGCATAGGCCTGTGGATGTTCTGATGCAGTTGATGGTTACACCCGTGACTTTGAGGAATGTCAAATGGTGAAGTATGGTCACTCAACCCGATAACTACTCAACCTTCCCATGGGGGAGTTGAGCAGGGGGATTGACAAGGCCTGTAAGAATTTAGTTATTATTATAGATTAACCCCCATGTTGTTTTTGGTATTTTCAGTCATCCCAGTGTGTTAAGTGAAAATTTAGAAACATGCTAAATATACAGAGAGAACTGGAAGAAAATATATATATTTAAAATACAAATCTGGAGAGAACCCAGACTTTCCAGACCTGGTTCCCTGCACCCTCTGTGTCTCCACAGTTAAATATTCAAGTGGGAGGAAAGCAGTGATCTAGTGACAGTGAAGTCGTATGAATTAGTGGTTCGAGGAGCAACACAGAGCTCCCCGTGCAAAAGTATTAAAGCCTAGGGAGATTGACAGGATCAAGTACATTTCACTTGAAGGGAAACGTGGAGATGGATAACGCAACTGTGTCAACGTCGCTTCCGGTATCAAGCTGTGGGCTTGTTGGCTCAGCCCTCATGCACGTACGAACAATTCAAACACATTGTGAGAATGATACACACAAATAACGTCGTCGTGACTGATTATAACACTTCACGTACTCGTATACAATAACAGAGGATGTCAGTAAAAGGCAACTACATTTGGTTCTCTTTGCACTGCATATGCTCATCGTCAGCCATGATCTATCCACTGCAGGATGTGAGCCTCTGCAGTCCTTCCCCATCTCCTACGGTATTGCAATGCAACAAGTCATCTAGCTAAATCTATGAAAGATAAACAATGTTTTTTTTCCCCAGGTAAGGCCCATTGAGCTATGTAGCTTTTTTTCAGAAGCGACCTAGTCACAAATGATAGCTCAACGAAGTGGCTTATCGTGTGGAAATTTATCGTAGTCAAATACTCAAAATGTATCTTATGTGGAGGGGACCTGTAGAAAAATTAACGCGACCACGGGGCGAACTTGCAAACTCCAGATATACAGGCATCAGGGTCGGGTCTTGACCACTAACAAATATAAGTTAATCATCCTCGTCTGACGGTGCGTGTGTGTGTGCACTTGGTAGGCGAGCGGGGAGTATGAAGTGATCGGACGTTCGCTCTTCAAGAAGGAGACCAACATGCAGCTTTTCGTGGGCATGAAAGTCACGCTGTCCACCGGCGAACAGGGCCTCATCGAGGGCGGCTTTGGGCAGAGTGGCAAGTTCAAGATCCGCGTGCCGGGTAGGTTGCAGCCTTTGGGCCGGCGGGCGTGCGATGTGCCGCGGGTGTCCCCCTGTGTTGCTGCTGCTGCTGCTGCTGTGTGTTGGTGGACGTTTATGTAGGTGGGCCATTGCTGTGAGCTGCCTGTGATCTCGGTAAAGTGGTGCCAGGCGCCGCCTTGCAATTGCTCAGTCGCTCGCTCACGCCCCTGCTCAAGGAAGAGCCTCGACTACAGGGGGCCTCCAGAGAGCCCCTCTAAAAGGGTTTGTCGGCCTGTCTCTTCTATGTTGGCCAGAGGTCTTAGAGGAGGTCAGAATACCCACACTTTACCCCACCAGACGTGACCTGTCGATTGACTAACAGCGGTGTGCCCATTTATACCACTGCGTGGTGGGGAGATGTGGGAAAAATCTGGGCCCTTGTTTCAACTGCCGAGGCGGAAGATCAGAAACGGCAGCCCTTCGATTGCATTTCCTGTTTGGTGAACTTTACACCATGGCGGCTTCTATTTTGGATGAAGTAAGTCTGAACATTTGTCAGTCACGTACTCTTGTGGGCCCAGTCCATCACGAATGCGTGCATTAGTCTCGGGTTGGATGGTTGTGAGGAGCTCGCAAATACTTGAAAGATCTCGGTCTGGTGGTGCATGCCTCATTGCATGCGAAGTTTGGTGGATGTGCTCCACCTCGCATCGCAGAGAGCGATGCGAGGTGGCCAGGAGTTGGCAGTACAGCAAGTGGGTTCATGAATATGTTGTGTTAATACCTTGGAGTGTTATGCTCTCCTATGAGTGGCCTTTGTTTTTTTTACATGTACTCCCGTTTATTCAGCATGCATAACACTCATCACAGAATAACCCCCTTGATAAAGATTCTCCATATACAGGGAGGCTTTCCTTTATAAATGGCATTCATATTATTTGGAAATCGTTAGAAATTGACTCCTTTTTGGCAGGCGAGGATGCGTTGGCTGGGCCATGTCACCCAAATGCCAAATCGGCTCTTGTGTGGCTGGATAGTAGGGGATAAACGGGTAAAGCGCGCTAGCTAGATAAGAGATGGGCAGATGTGGGACCGAGTGGACTTGTTGACAACTGGTACCCACCGTGTCAAGATCAGCCTCTATGGTGGGGGGGCTGTCATGAAAGATGCTGCTGGGCAGTTGGAGGCAGTTGCCCTCCAGCAACAACGGAAAATAAGAGCAGCGATGCTCACGTCAATTAACAGTATTGGGTGGTTAAATCGCGGAGTGTTGGCGCAGTGGGGAATACAGGTGGTTAACCCATCAGTCGCTGCCCTGTTAACTCCTAACACCTGGGTACTTATCCCAAGACCTCCTGCGATTGAGCCTTTACCGCTTAACACGACCCCGTAGTGCAGCTATCCCGGCACAAACGTCTTGATGGGCCTCGGCATCGTTTCCAGCAACCGTAGGAGGAGGAGGAGGAGTGCGAGTCGGGAAAACGAGCAACGTGTCAAGTGATGCAGTCCGTAAACCCGCAACACCTGGGTCTGCTCCGTGATGATCTTCCCCAACTCTGCGCCTTCATCTCCCCACGTGGCCTCTTGAGTGCGCACCAAGCCTGGTCCAGGTGCCGGCACTTAGTCATCGTGAGCCGGCTTTGCTCTCCTCCCCCCTCCCCCCACCCTCCGAGGATGTCCTGGGACTCGTTGGTGCTGCCCCCGGCTGCCCCAGGCTGCCCCCGGCTGCCCCTGGGGCTCGATATAGCCAGGCCCCGGTTTATTTATCCCGGGCTGTGCCACATTTTGAGATGTGGTTTTTGCACGTAGTCGACACGATATAAATGAATACAGTTGTAAGTGTTTGTGGAGCAGATCGTAATAAGTGCTCTCTGTGACAGCACTTTTTCCGCGGATTCTTTGTAGGGTGCTGGAATGAATTATTAATTTGGTTTAACACGTAGGCTTCCGCGACCAATATTATTCATAACAAAGGTTTTTGGGTTTGATCGCGTTATTTATAAATGTGTCTAAACCCTCTACCATCCGACACGGCCAGTCAGTAAGGGATTTGTCACGTAAACAAAACGACACAGTTACTACTTCAGCCCACCGGTGTGTTGAAGAGTGAATCCACAACATTTACAATCTCAGTACGCCGTTTCGCTGGTAATTACATCCAGCATCATCGCCACAGTAAACAAAAAAAACCCCACCACATTGCGTTATAATAAACTCAATCGTTAAATGATGAATTAAAAAAATTCTGCTTTATACGAAGGCCAAGTGTTGGCTTTATTGAGACGTTTGGGGGGGAGCATTGGATAAAAAAAAGCGCAAGCTTTGTACAAAACGCGTTATTTAGAAAGTAAGAGGGTTCAGCCATTGTGCACGTCCCACACAGTTTTTTTTGCGACAGCTGTACAATGCTTTTTTTTTCCTCTCTTTCTTTTTCTCGCACCACTGTCGCTTGTCGTGCCGCGCCGGCCGCTCATTCCGCTCGGTTCTTCCTACGATGCTTATCGCGGCGCTTGAGCAAAAAGAGAAGGAGCCTGGGGCAGTCCCTGCGCGCGTGCGGTAACGAACAGGTTAAAGTGCTCTCTCCGTGCGCAGAGGCTAGCTTGTGCCGTTTCTCGTACGTGGGTGGATTAGCGCTATTTGCAAAGTACGCGAAAAGGAGCTATTACCGAGAATTTAAAATGAAATGAGAAATGGCTCCCTGTGGATCGGTTCTCCCCTTTTTTTCGCGGCAGCAATCTTAAAAGCCATAATTTTGCCTCTTTAGGCTGCTGATGAAATGCGGTTCTGGTTGAGTGGTTTTTGCCGCACGGGGCTAAGTAATGTATTTATTTTCTTGATTGCGGTTTGTGCTTTTTTAAATGAAAAAAAAACGCGTTGGGAATATAAGCAACAGATTAGAGCAGTGCATTTTGGAGTTATTATAAAAGCTGCCAAAAGCTGTGATGTCGCCTAAAAGTTACGTATTTGTAATTTTATGAAATTTCCGTTATATATTTTTTTATTTGAAAGCCGCTTTCCTGCTACTGCCTTTTGCCTTTCCTTAATCTGTGCGAAACTACATTTCTCAGGTTAAAGAAACGCCCATATTCACAATATTCATAACGGGCGTTCCATGGAAGTGAATAAAAGTTAGTGGATTGCATGCATTGCTCCACGGGGTGGAGGGGGTGCGGGGAAACGTCTTCCCTTCCAAAATTCGCAGGTTGTGACAAAAAAACAATCCGTTTGTTCTAATTTTCATTGCAATTTCCATTGTTTTTGTGACAGAACGGCTAGTCAATATATTTTGCATATTAAATGTTTTTAAAAAATGTTTTATAACAGGAATTTTATAATGACAGCAGTGGAATGGTGATGATTATTTGTTTTTTGTTAAATTAAGTTTCAGTAGTTTAGATTTTTCTATAACAGCAAATTGTTATTCGTGATACTGGTATATAACTCCCAAAACAGTACAATATAATCAACATAATCTATGCGTTAAACAATTTAATTCATACATTCATTATAATATACCTTCCGAGTAAATAGTTGCAAATTGTACTTTTATAGTACATACCAATGCTAAAATATAAACGCATTACAGTATTCATTAATTAATACATTACACTTAATTCCATTACTTGATAAACACATTACAGTGATCCTTAACTGATATAACACTGTCGTTAAAGCGTTTGTTTGACAACGTGTGCGTATTAACCCATAACTTGTATACGTATAAACATATCCACAATAGATGTTTTTTGGGTTAGATCACGTAAATATAAATGTGTCGTTAAACCCGCCACCACCCGACACAGCCAATTAGTAAGGTTTGTCACGTAAAAACATACCAATTTGTTGCTAGTACAGCACACCGTTGTGTTGGAGAGTAAACATAAGCTTTCTTCGGGAATTACAATACAGTATTGCGCTCTCAGACTGCGTTCTGTAATTTGAAAGCAAGAGTGCTTCGGCAGTGGCATACACGCCAATATAACTCAACATGTTCATCAGAACTCTGCCATGGAACGGAGAATTTTTTTTAAGATCGTAACCGCTCTTCAAGCATTTACTCAATCGACGCTCCAGCTCGGCCTTGCGTTGTTTTCGGAACTTGTGTAGAGTTACCCACCAATCCTGTGCGTTTGTTGTGATGTGCTAAGTTCATTAACTTTTGTAATGATGGTCTATATAATAATATGGTCCTTTATTTTACCTAGCAAAGCCTCAACTGAGTCTCAAGTCCTGGAATGGATGCCCAATGCCACCGTTATGTTTCATGTGCTTTTGTATATATTTTAGCCACTGTAGTATTTATCGTTGGAATTAACTTATCGTCCTCCACGGAGATGGATTGATTATGTAGGTTCATGTACGGGTGCTCTACGGATCGTCGCATCACGATTTGGGGATGCTTTCGTTTAGCACTGGACAGCTCATGGCCAATAACGATGACAATTATTTATTGAGAAAACTAATTACTCGTCGCAGGCTGAATCAAATAGGGCGAGCATGGCAGTAGCCCGCCGCTGGCACTTTTTCGTGCGTGAATGTCTGGAGAGTATCGCCAAGTTCGCGAGCGTCGCACCTCATCCAGCGCCTTCCAAAAACCGTGCGGCGGAGGAGCCATGTGGAGCGGGTTAGAGCATTAATCGCACGAAAAAAATGTTAAATCCCACAGACGATCACGGCCAGGAAAGCCAACTGTGGCACACATCTGGACAGGGGTGGCACGTGACGGCGGGAGGAAACGCCGACTGTGAAGACGAATTGAAAAGGGAGCGTGCGTGAGTGCGTGCGTGCGCGCGCTCACAGCAGGGCCCCACTAACAACTAACAGCATCTATGGGGCGGAATGAAGAAGAGGGGAGGAGAGAGAAGGGAGGGGGAAGGCGAGGGGGCGGCACGGATGATGATGAGGGTGGGGGTGGCGGCGGCGGGAGAGCGGGATCGTGCAGGGGACAGCCCTCCCGAGATGTGGCCCCACGTTGGCCTGAGCCCCGAGAAATCCTCGCCAGCTTTCAAATGCCCCCCCCCCCCTTCCTCCCCATCGTGCGCTGCTAACCCGATCCAGCCCACGCAGTCCCGATCCCGCCACCCACCCTATCCCTCGTCTCAAGCCAGCAGCCTCCCACCTCCTCCGCCTCCTCCCCGTGCCCTCCCAGAAGCCCCTTGCCCAGAGCTTGGCGGTACCCTTTCCCCATGCCAGCTGTTTACGTAACCTCTGAACCCGCTTTGGAAACCCTACCTGAGTCCTAATGAAGTCCCCGTGTGGCCCGAGTGCACAGAGGTGTTTGTGGGGCGCGGGGTGAGGAGCGAGGCTCGTGGGTAGACGTGGCTGTTGGGTACATGTTGTCCCCCCCCCCACTGTTTCCCCTCCAACAGCAATTCCTCAACTTACAGTGAACTCCGTTTCACTCCCCGTTGCCTGCCATTCAATGGGATTTTTGAAAAATATATATTTTGCCTTTGTTCTCCAAATTTTATCCCAATTGTGCTATCATTGTCGTTTGGAAATCTTGTTGAGTTGCATATCACCTTGTGTTAGACGATGGGCATTGGAAGAAGATATCATGGAACTAAAGTAACCCTTTATCCACACTAGGAGACGAACTTTCCCACCATGCTACAGAGATAAATTTTTTGTTGGATGACAAACCAATATTTTTAATTCTCAGAGCTTAAATTTAATGTGATGTTTATTTGTATGTAGGTATGGATGTATGTTGAACGTCTTTTGCATCGTACATAGCCAACCGTGCTAACCATGCTAATCGGTTGGCTGCGTGCATTGGTGATTGGCCTCAGATCATCAACTGTTTTTACTAATATATTGCTGCCTGGATTTGAACTCATAATCTCAGCAGTTCTGGCGCAGTGCTCTGACCACTGATTCATCCAAAATTCTGAAAAAAGACCTCACTTTATTCAAATTAAGATCGCCCTGCTTTTATTTTATCAAGTCAATCAACTTACTCATATTTAAAAATGGGGTTCTCTTAAATAGCCCCTGCTAACATCATGTACTGTGATAAAGTTTTTTTAATCATTAGTTTCCAGGTTTTAATTAGAATGGGACACGTCTCTAGAAGGGATGATGGACGATGGCCAAGAATAATAACGGAATGGCATTCAAGGGATGGAACGCGTTCGATAGGATGCCGACTGAGGAGATGGAACAATGCAATCGGTGTGTGTGTGAAAATACGAGGTGCATGGGGTGCCATGGTGGCGAGATGTTAACTACCTCGCCTCGTACACAGGAGGTCGTGGGTTCGGTCCCGACTCCTGTATATTTGGAGTTTGCTTGTCTCTCTCCCCGTGGTCGTGTGGATTTTTCTCCGCGTCCATTTTTTTCCCTCCACATTTAGAATCAAGATGCGTTTAGAGTATTTGGCTGCTTTAAATTTCTATATGATGATAACCCACTTCGTTGCGCTATCATTTGTGACCAAGTCACTTCTGAAAAAGCTATATAGCTCAGTCGGTCTAACCTAATACAATAAAATAATAAAATGTTTGCATCTCAGGATCGTGAGAGATGGTGACAGCGTGACGAGGCCATACTCCGACAGTGGAGTGACCATGGCTGATGATGATGATGATGATGAACGTAATTTAAATAAGTTTAACATTACATAGACAACACAAAGTTAAGCAAATTGAGCAGTGCCACAACACACCACGCACACACAAGCCACCTCAAACACCCTAACTTCCATGATAAGGATCCTGTGGATATATGCCTACGCCGTGTGTCCTGGACTCAATAAAGAAGGGGAAAAAGTCATGGTCAGGAGTGCCCTCCTGTCGTCAATAGAGCGACATTGTTTTCCAGAGTACAGATATGGTGCTGCGTTGATGTCACGAGAGTGGCAGCAAGACTTATTTTTCATTAACAAAGCTTTAAATTTAAAATGGGCAGCTTAAAAACCCACAGCCGAGACATGCATCTACAAGATAAGAGCCGTTTGTTTATTGGGTCGCGTATTCTTTTTAACTTGAGCGATGGATTGGTGCAAGAGGTGGTTGAAACCCGGCGTAAAATTATATATAACGATTTTTTTTTTTAAGTCTGTATTAAGAAGTTACACCCACGAGTGATAATGATACCCGACAATTTGTTTGAAATTAAACATCCAAAGGTGATCCCTCTTGCCACGAAAATAAACAGTCATGCCGTGAGACTTTAACCACTCCTGGTCCTTTCGTCGGGCCGCCTGTTAGCGAGAGATAGATTACGTCATGTTTGTTATTGGAGTTGGCGCGGCACAAAAACACAGGCGCCCGATGCCCCAGTGCCAGCGGCAGCGGTGATGCTGAACAGCGCTGCTCGGTGACAGCTGGGGGTGAACGCGGCGCGGTGCCGTTCCCCGATAAAACGAGCCGTCAAAAAAAGATTGTAACATTTTTGTTAATTACGTCACCCTAAAAAAAAAGGTGACGAACCAACCGGTGTAGCTCTCCGATGTGTGTTTTTGGGCCCACCCGATGACGAATCGTTCTGCGCGCTGGGAGCTCTGTCAGCGCGCGGAGCAAAACCGTCGGACTTCGAGACGGGCAACGCGCGGTGTGACGCAAACACTCGGTCCGAGAGCTGTACAGCACGATCACGGCCACCTCCATGGTGACGCGATAAACGGCGTAAGCGTACCTGTACAGCCCGATTGTGAATCCACCGTTAGATCGTGAGGGGGTTTCTCTTCTTCGATGCCGCCGTCCACTGACGATCAGTTATTCATAACTTGTTTTTCTACGCGACGCTGCTGTCCACTTTTGATCAGTTGTTCGGAGGTTTTTTTTTAATCCATGGCTAATCACCAGAGGATGGCGGCACCGACTAAAAACAAGTTTTTACCAAGGTACTCAACCTTATTTATCGCACCATACTTCATCATCCTGGTCAGTGTGGGTTGGTAAAGGCTGGGCAGGAGCGGTGGTGGCGCACGCCTGTAATCCAGCACTGTGGAGGGAAGCGAGGGTTGGTGGTTCACACAAAATGATGCGAAACCCCTTTGGCGTGGGCCTCGTGGGTGTGCCCACGCTTTCTTTCGAGGAGAGGAGAGGTGCGTGCGGTGCAGCAAATGCAAACTCCACCATCAGTACGGGATAGAGTGTTGCACCCTCGCACTCTTTGGTTTTCTCCAGGCGTACCGGTTTCCTCCCACATGTCCACCTTCACTAATTGATTAAAAAAAACCTGAATATGTAGAGGACTGCAGTGCTTGGGGGAGAAATGTATCACCGGCTCCACCAGTTGGTTGTATCTCCCGCTTGTCTGTGCTTCCTTGCGCCTTTGGGTCGTTCCCCTCCTTTAGAGAGTGAGCGAATGCTATGCGCGTTTCAAGTTAAAATAACATCAGCCTATAATACCTGTTTTATGCGTGGTTGTTTCCCGTTATAGTACAGTCAAACACATAGTCAAACTTGAGCAAATGGCGGAAAAAATTAGTGGCTTAATGATTTGAATACGTGAATGAATAATACGTTTCTTATTTAACTCCAATGATTTTGTGAATTAAATAATTTTTTATTCTTACTGATGAGCATTACATTTATAAAATAAAAAAATTCACAAGCAATGCATGTTTAAGTTAATGTAGAAATTCAAACAAATATAACAACGCAGAAAAATAAACAAATTTTAACTCATAGATCCAGCATTTATGTTTATTGACAACTATAAAAAAATATCATCAAATGGCTTACTTATTAAAGTGTTAATTTAACGATGAAGAGACGGATTTAGTGATTGCGAACCTCGCTTTCTTATGAAGGGAGCGGCCTGCTCCTTCCCAGAGGAGATAGCGAGAAGTCAATTTTAGAAATTCAATTAAAATTCGCGCGTTTTCATACTCTGTACACAAGCACTTATTACCATAAAGCCCTAAGTCCATTGGTTCAAACGACGGGATAAAAATCGAAGCAATGCCGCACGGAGCAGCGTAGCCAAGAAGGTCGGTGGTGGGGGGGGGGAGCCCATTTGTATCCAACCACCGCATTCGAAATGTCACTCACTGTGAGCGGCTTGACGTTAGCGCACCAGCCACCTGTGCCTTACGGTTTAACCGTAGCCCGTCGTAGTAGTCTTGCGTAGTAGTCGGGAGTGTTTACCGCTGTTCCCAACGAGTTTGACCAAACTTTCCACTGGCCGGCGGCTTTTGGAGGCTGTTCGGGGCCAACTGCGGCATTGTGGAGTGCGTCGGTGCGGTGCGTGGAGTGCGGAGTTGTGTGTGGAGAGTGGCGGTGCGGCGTGTGGAGTGCGGAGTTGTGTGTGGAGAGTGGCGGTGCGGTGCGTGGAGTGCGGAGTTGTGTGTGGAGAGTGGCGGTGCGGCGTGTGGAGTGCGGAGTTGTGTGTGGAGAGTGGCGGTGCGGTGTGTGGAGTGCGGAGTTGTGTGTGGAGAGTGGCGGTGCGGTGTGTGGAGTGCGGAGTTGTGTGTGGAGAGCGGCTTTGCGGTGTGTGGAGTGCGGAGTTGTGTGTGGAGAGTGGCGGTGCGGCGTGTGGAGTGCGGAGTTGTGTGTGGAGAGTGGCGGTGCGGTGTGTGGAGTGCGGAGTTGTGTGTGGAGAGCGGCTTTGCGGTGTGTGGAGTGCGGAGTTGTGTGTGGAGAGTGGCGGTGCGGCGTGTGGAGTGCGGAGTTGTGTGTGGAGTGCGGCGGTGCAGTGCGTGGAGTGCGGAGTTGTTGTGTGTGGAGCGCGGCGTTGCGGCGTGTGGAGCGCGGCGTTGCGGTGTGTGGAGTGTGAGGTTTACGGAGTGCGACATTACGGTGTGCGGAGTGCGACGTCACGGAGTGCGACGTTGCGGTGTGCGGAGTGCAGTGTGCGGTGTTGCGGTTGCACACTTCAGAGGTAGCCGCTGAGCGGTGAGGTCGGTTATGGAAACTTTG